TTTCCAAACTTTGATCAAGATTAACAGAACCAGTAATAAATCTTGAAACCAACCAAAATCATTTCAGCAGATTATATCAAAGTCCTTTCAACTGAATTAGAGATGAACTCTCAGATTTTCATTCTGAGTAGAAACTGGGCAATACCATTATTTAGAGGAATATGTAGCTTTAAAATGAAGGAGATATAACTTGAATTAATTGATTGATTTAAGAATGATTGAAGTACTGTCCAGACTAATCCAATAAAAGATGAAGATCATTCAGACTAACCTCTATAGAACACTAATGAGCATCTTCACCAACAAAATCTATATTCTGCACAAATTTTGTGATTTAGTACTAGAGTCATTGCAAGGTCATGTTTTTTATCTTTGACCTAAACTTCATAAGTAACATAATCAGGTTATTTGATTAAATTGAATAATGATACCAGGATATGCCAATTTAGATCTCAATCTTTAATAAACTTCATAAGTAAAATAATCACTACCTAGTCAATTTGAATAATTATATGCCTATTTAGATCTTTATCCTTTACTTTATATGTAACGAGACAGTTAATTGGTCAATCTTATGGTTGGTTGGTAGATGACAAGTGAACGATCTCTTCCAGCTGATGCTGATATCACAAACTAGGTAGTTTTTTGGGTCAAACTCATGGAGTGGTATAGTCATGATGAGAACATTGGCTGTTGCAGCAAAGACTCATGAAACCTGTGCAGTGGCAAAGCTCTGACAAGACTGAAGACTAATTAGAGGTTTTAGTAATATTGTTCACCTATTTGACCCCAGGTGACCTTTAATTACCATCTGAGTACCATCTCTAGACTACCAGCTTGAAGTCATCAGGGTATCTTTTTCTATCTTTAACTTTCTCACTGATCATTATCAGGTTTTCAGCAACATTCTCTCAAAGTTAATATTTCAAACTGATACAACTCTTACTCAGTACCTTACTACGTGGTAGAACCATAAAATATAACTCTCCATACATACCATGTGAAAAGTCTAGCTTGTTTTGTCCTATTTATTTATCATGGCAACTATTTGGGAATGTAATTTTTTTTTATCAATTTAACTTGATAATGAATAATAATTAGCACAAAAATATTGAATTGAAAACTAGCTTGAGACATGATAATGCCAAGATCAAATGAAAAGTATAAAAAATTTCACCTGAACAAACATGTACTGACTAACCATGTATCTTGTAACCTTCCTTCAGTAATCTTATCTAATAATAACTATCCCACATGCTAATTACTATAATAGACATAGCATGATAAGATGGTACATCATAAGTTCTTATAGACAAGACAAGCCTTCCTGTATACTAAAAAAATCAACTAAATTTTGGTAAAATTTCAAGAAAAATCTCCTAAACATTGTTGGCTATTACCAAGTTCTTGACTCTTATATCCAGATTCAGGCTTGATAATCAATATCCATCAAAGCTGAGGACAGTTCTTTAATATGAAAAGTGCCATAACTGAAGTTTTTATCTTATGTCTAATTTCTAACATGTATAATTATATTACATAGTAACTGGTAGAACCAAGACAAAACCTTAAAAAAGTTGTATCAGTTGTGTGTTCTAAATCTCAAAACCTATCATAACATTTGTATAAAGTTGTATCATTAGCGTATATTGATATAGACAGCCAAGATTCTTAGTGATAAAATATTGACAGATGATGAAAGGGGTAAAATTTAATCAATCAATCCAGATTGACTAAGATTGACCTATGGTCACCTATTATAGGGTGGACCAGTAACTTGATCCAATTAATCACCTTTATTATTACTTTCTCTCATCTTATTAACTTATACTTTATCAAAGAGATACAGTCCTATTATTACTTGCCACGGTTGTTAAACATTATCAAAGAGATACAGTCCTATTATTACTTGCCACGGTTGTTAAACATTATCAAAGAGATACAGTCCTATTATTACTTGCCACGGTTGTTATACATTATCAAAGAGATACAGTCCTATTATTACTTGCCACGGTTGTTATACATAATCAAAGAGATACAGTCCTATTATTACTTGCCACGGTTGTTATACATTATCAAAGAGATACAGTCCTATTATTACTTGCCACGGTTGTTATACATAATCAAAGAGATACAGTCCTATTATTACTTGCCACGGTTGTTATACATTATCAAAGAGATACAGTCCTATTATTACTTGCCACGTTTGTTATACATTATCAAAGAGATACAGTCCTATTATTACTTGCCACGTTTGTTATACATTATCAAAGAGATACAGTCCTATTATTACTTGCCACGTTTGTTATACATTATCAAAGAGATACAGTCCTATTATTACTTGCCACGGTTGTTATACATAATCAAAGAGATACAGTCCTATTATTACTTGCCACGGTTGTTATACATTATCAAAGAGATACAGTCCTATTATTACTTGCCACGTTTGTTATACATTATCAAAGAGATACAGTCCTATTATTACTTGCCACGTTTGTTATACATTATCAAAGAGATACAGTCCTATTATTACTTGCCACGTTTGTTATACATTATCAAAGAGATACAGTCCTATTATTACTTGCCACGTTTGTTATACATTATCAAAGAGATACAGTCCTATTATTACTTGCCACGGTTGTTAAACATTATCAAAGAGATACAGTCCTATTATTACTTGCCATGGTTGTTAAACATTATCAAAGAGATACAGTCCTATTATTACTTGCTACGGTTGTTATACATTATCAAAGAGATACAGTCCTATTATTACTTGCTACGGTTGTTATACATTATCAAAGAGATACAGTCCTATTATTACTTGCCATGGTTGTTAAACATTATCAAAGAGATACAGTCCTATTATTACTTGCCACGTTTGTTATACATTATCAAAGAGATACAGTCCTATTATTACTTGCCACGGTTGTTATACATTATCAAAGAGATACAGTCCTATTATTACTTGCCATGGTTGTTATACATTATCAAAGAGATACAGTCCTATTATTACTTGCTACGGTTGTTATACATTATCAAAGAGATACAGTCCTATTATTACTTGCCACGTTTGTTATACATTATCAAAGAGATACAGTCCTATTATTACTTGCCATGGTTGTTATACATTATCAAAGTGATACAGTCCTATTATTACTTGCCACGGTTGTTATACTTTATCAAAGAGATACAGTCCTATTATTACATGCCACGGCTGTTAAAATCCAGTATATCAAAGGGATATATCCTATATTATTCACTATACCTGGAACCACTGTTGGAACCTGGAACCTTCAAGCTTTCTTTTACGACTTTAAAAAAGAAAATCAACATACAGTTTGTCTACGATATAAGGAAAACATACTGCTTAGTTGGCAAAAGGAACAACTGTTGGATTTTGAGACTTTTCCTGAAGTAAGGTTTTTTTTTTAAAAAAAGTCATGCTTATAACTAGAATGAAGCTCTGTCAGCTGGTAAAGAGGAAAATTAGACAACACTATCACTTTAACTCATCAAATATTAACATTCTTTCTTCCCTTCTTATTAACTTATACAAACAATATCATCTTGATAACATTCGCATCTACCCAAGATAACACAGAGACAATTTTCTTCAGATTAATATATAATGGACTGAACAACGACATACTCAAGAACTTGATTTTTGTGAATTGATAATTTATATGAAAGAAGTTCTCTTCTTGTGACCTTGGCCAGTGCTTCTATAACTCCCAACCAAAAAATGTGACATAAATTTTGATAATGCACAAGTTTATATTCAGATAGAAAATAGTCAAGCCTATCTTTAAATTCCAAAGATTTTGTGTCAGCTGCCAGGCAAATTTACTTTTATAATTGGACAATGTAATACAAATGTGATCAAGAAGCAGCTGATTTCTTATCCTTTCTTATACCAGTACATAAAGTAATCCATATATAGCTGAAAAGAAACCAGATCTAAATGCCTCTGGAAATTATTTAGCTCATGAGACAAAACTGTACATAGCAAAAGTAGAACTTGTAGTCTTGCAACATCTATACTAAACGTTTGGTGACTGCTTACAAATGGAATAAAAATCTGAGTAATGTTTTTGTCAATGGTAGATTAGATCCCCTTTCATTTACTCCCTGAAACAATTGCTTTGCATTTCTGAATTATTAGTTTATCTTGTAAATCTCTCCAGAAGTATGTAATTTCCTATCCTACTTGTGACCTAGGCAAGTGCATCTTTAAGAAAGTATCTCTTATACCAAAATTCTATTGCAAAACATTTTTGATTTGAGCTGTTTCATAATTTACAGAATCTAGTTTGATGTAAGTGGTTTAAAAACAAAATGTAATTGAAATTAAGAAAGCACAGGGGGAGTGGAAAATTCAGTAACATCAGTTAGGTTTGATCATTTGGTTTCAACTCGAATCAAAGGTGTTTATTATAAGAAATGAAAAGGTGGAATATTTTGATTATAGTATGTAAGTTGTAAGATCTTTACTCTATATAATAACAGATGGTATAGAATATAGCAGACATTAATTACATTACTAACTCTCTATACCTCATATACTACCATCTCTACTCTATATACCACATCATATATATACTCACTAAGTATATTTTGACATGTAAAATTCTCTAAATTATTTTACTACTGCCAAATTCTCATGTAGCTGTCTTATACATTACTTCCAGTGGCCATGAGAAACTGATTTTGCTTATATCTGCAGATTATTTGGCTCATTAAGAACTAAAAACATGGTAGTGTTGAGAGAAAACATACAACAGTGTCCAATTTATGACCTACTTTTTGCATAATAGTCAAGATAAGGATCTAGAGCTGACTGTGGACGGTCTAGGATATACAGAGTATGCATTGAGGGAAATTTTGCTTAAACAGCCTATTATCCTTATCATTTCCAGTTCCCTAATGGTGAGATCAGTTATATTGGCAGTGTGCATCACACATTTATTGCCCAATCTTAAATATCAATATCCATGCTTTTATCATGTCAGCCCCTTTAAGGAACCCATCAATCCTATTTCAGAGAATGTTAGAATACAAGCTGTATATACCTTTTTGGGATCCATATTGAATTTCTTCTTTCCGATTGAAATCTGCTTGGCTTTTGGGTCTGGTTTGCTGAAAAAAAAAAAAAACAATTCAATACCATGAACAGCATAGAAAAAAAAAACAACATTTAAACCTATCACCAATCTGAGACTAACTTTTTTCTTTTCACGTCTTGCGTGTCATGATTTTTGTAACTGTAAAATATTTTCATTCTTGGTTTCTCACTCCTATTCAGTGAGTTACTTATTTTCTTTGAGTCAATTCCTAAAATAGGACACTAACTTTCCCTCCGCCGCTTCTTAATTTTTCTTGTGAAATTATTTCAATTATTTAAGTACAAAATATCAAAGCCTGAATGTCAAGTCAGTATAATGCCATCTCTATAAAGTTGTTTTTCTGGGTCTTTTTTGTCTTCAGGAGATTCTGCAGGATTGACATTTCAAAAGAGCAACTTTTTCTGTTTGCTTACATAACCTTTGGCTAAAGAAACATCATAAATGATAAATTTGAATTAAAGCAGAATAAAATGTATCAATATCAAAGTGGGTTCAAAGTTAACAGAATTTCTTTAAGATTTCAACTATTACATCTTCAAGTTTTTATCACAGCAATTATAAAAGTAAATACGCAAGTTCAGAAGTTAAAATTAGCAGTAAGAAGTCTGTAAGAGCTATACTAACAAGAAGCCAATTTGGAGAAAAAATATCTCCAAGATAAATGAGACCATTTCCGTTCTTTTATCTTGAAGAGTTCAGAATATACGTCATAGCTCCAGATTAACGTTACAAAGTTTACTATAGAAAATTGGCTTATAATCTGCCTAAAATATCAAATGTTTAAAGAAATCTGATAAGAAGAACTCATCAAGTCGACTTGGAGAGTAAATTTAGATCTGATATAGGCCAGGTGATTCAATACTTAGATAAATTTCAGTACTAAAACTATAAAATAAAGTACCAATTAAATATTTTATTTCATCTTTTCTTTAAAAACTGTGTTGTAAGCCACAATTATGGACTGTTGCCATGACTTATAGTAGAAATTTGTCTAAAAAAAATCTCATCTCTTTCAAATTTTCCTATAATCCCATCAAAACTGCAATCTCTTTTGCGTTCACGAAAATTATCATGTGGGCACATAAAAAGAACCAGTATAAAAAGTCCTCTTAAATTAATCTAAGACTAGAGAAAGTGGTTGATTTGTAAATTTCAGAGGGTACAAATGTTCAAGAATGATAGTTTGCATAAATAAACCAAGTAGTAACGTCAACGATCCGAACTGCAAAACAAAATCAGAAATCCAAAACAACATTTTGACGATATATTGATAGCAGCAAATAAACTTTTCATATGAGCAAGGAAGTATATGAATCATAAGTGAGTCAATATTTCATAATGAAAAGTGGTATCAGGTGTCTGGGAGAGCAAGCATACCCTGCCTGACGCCACACCGGTCATAGCTGCTCAACATACAAAACAAATAGGAATGCAACAAAAAAAAGAAATGGTGACTTGACTGACGAATTTGTCTTCAGTTGGGTGACATAAACCAGTTTGAATCCCAAATTTTAACAATAGGAGGCTCAAAATGGTGCTATAGAAAAGAATTAAGACTACTGTTACATAAAATATTCATGATAGTACACCTATAATCTAGTAAGCTATCTCATTTATTCCATACCATGTTTTTTATAGTAGATAGTGTTTTTTATTGTCTCTTGCCTTTCATCACTACCTGGTACAACCAAGATACTCTTACTCTTCCCTTTCACACTTTTATTCTTCAGATGTTTCAATAGAAACATAAATAGGGTTAAATGTCATTGCCAAACAGTGTGGTCTAGTTTTCCACATGAATAGATTAGACAAAATACATGATCATATTACTGTATGTATAGAATGAAAATTTGATACAGGTATTTACAAACTGTATCAATTTTACCCTTTTGTACAAGGGTGAAAAAATTATATCCCCTAAATGGCTGAATATACCGGTACTTCTTTGTAAAGGTTTAATGGTCCACCTAAAAGCAGATAATCATTATTCCAGGGTAAGATTGTTCATTTCTTCAGAGGAGATGTTTCTCGTCTATGTATGTGCCCTTAGCATACTTATCATAAATAAATTTTACTTGCACCATTCTGATTTCCCTTTCAATATCTTTGGTTCTTGAAATTTAAGAACTGTACTTGATTATGAGGTCACTATTATTTGGAATGAACTGAATTTGCGATAGCTTCTAATAGAATAACATTGATATAAACTCACAAATATAAGATAGAAATCAGAATGGTGAAAATACTCATTAAAACATTTAAAAATCATCCTTGAATCCCTACAACAAGAACTAAAGACCACAGTTTGAAACCTCATTATCTTTATTAAGTAATGCAGATCAAAGGCTTAATGTCTTTCTGAATTGAACATTTAAAAAATATTTTTTATGTCGAGTGTTTTTTCTTATTATGGGGAGTTTTTATTATCTAGCTTGTGTTTTTGGTAAATTCATCATGACATTTTATAAGCATGGTATCACAAGTTAAAATCTTAGAATTGTTGTAATGGATACAAAATGCCATGAAGATAGAAATCTGAGAACAGCATACCACCCCTGGGAGAATTTACCAATATTGTTCAACCTATCTTATACCTCCTGACTTAATCCATTTATTTTACATGTTTACTATCAAAAATATTGATAATAGAAAATACCAGGAATCAATCTATGCCAATATATTTCTTTCAACTTATTGGATACTTTACAAAGTACCATACAAACCTTAGAGAGATTATAGAAAAGTTTTCTAAGTGTATCAGAGACTCTGACAGCAATGATTCCAATGTTAGTAAACAGGCATATGGTTTTTGCAATTCAACTTTAAAATGTGATTTATGACGTCATTATCTAACAAGCTGCTAATAATAGTTATTAAGAGCCATTGCGATAATGACGTCATAAAAGTTCAGTTTTAGTGGAATTGCAGTAACCGCAGATGTCTGACTGAAAATCAAAAAGGTGTATATTGCTATGTGTGTCCCCAATATACATAGTTTAAAAAACCTGTTAAGCTTATTGACATTTGTTGTAGATAACTTTTTTAGTTAAATAGTAACTATTACTACGAGAGACCTTTTTCATTAAAGCAAGGAAATTTTTAGCAAGAAATGAAAACACATTCAGATGACCATGATTGAATACCTCTCTTGCATAAACGAGAGCTTTAAGTGCTGTGCTAACCGATACTAGATCTGAATGCTGCAAGATTTGGACTAACATTACAAAAAGTCTTTTTCTTTAGAGCTATGCAAGGATATGTTAAGTGTTTGCAAGAAATAGACACCATAAGGTGACTAGGAGATTAAATGTTACTCGGTTCATTAATAATTACCTCATTTTTTATCCTATTCATTGTCTACTACACAACAAATAAATATCACTAATAAATCACAGCTAGTATTCCACACTTTATACATAGAGTACAGTCACTAATTATATTCCATAAATTGTGACAACACTTCAGGATTTTACTGTAAGTTGATTTCAGCAATATTCCACTACACTAATCCAGTATTTCCTTTAGACCTCGGAAATTCTAATCAAGAAACAGAGCTGGAGTTCAGAATTTCTACAGCAATAACCCAGTCTGTTGGGAAGTCAACTATAATTCTCCAAAAAAAGTACTGTATCAATTCTTTAAAAAACCTACGATGCTAATCCAGACAAGGGAATTCTGACAGAAACTTGCTCAGGTCTTCTAAAACGTTTATAAAAATTCTGAATATTGGCTTATCAATTTACCACAATAATCCACCAGATCTGTAGAGAAGTCTGAAAGCACCTGCCAATTTACCACAATAATCCAAGAAATGGACTGAGATCAGAGAAACTTAAGACAGAAATCCTTTTACTACTCCATTTCACCTTTACTATAAAGTCCAGTGTGGTATCCAAATAACAATATCAAGATTTATTACAATAGGTATTGATAAACTTTTAGTCCATTATACACTGTCTTTACCTCCTATTACAAAACTCTTTTACATATATTCACAATGGGTCTTATAATACCCACTATATAACATATCTCTCTCAGGTCCACGTTACACAGTCATATTTAAACTACATGGAATTCTTCATTGACAGAATGATAGTAAAAAGAAACTCTAACCCTGCCTGCCACTCTAGAAGCATAAATGTCAAGATAAAACACACATAAGTTCAACTTCTAGCTAGCAACCCACCATTGATAAAGTCAAGTGAAATGAAATCCTATACTCTCTATTATAAGCATGTTTTATACATACACTAACTACTGTAAATACTTTTATGGATTAACCTTTTCACTACTTCCATATACTTTATAGAGACTATATCTTAAATATCATCTATTTAATATTAATTCCAAGATTTTCATTAATTACTTTTAATCCAAATTCAAATCCCAATATTTTGAAAATAGAAGAAATCACTAGTAATTCAATAACTAACTTCCGTAAAACAATATAGAATTAAATATGGTACTTCATACACTAAGTAAGTCTTAATGGAATAAAGTCATCATTAAATGAATCATAAATATACATATTTCATCATAGATAATATCAAACTTCACTCATTGGCTGGTTACAAACTCTCTCAATATACTTCACTGTTCCTGCTACTCTAGACCATGTTACTATTTTTAGAATCAGCCAGGAGTGTCAGTTCATCATGTTAAAAGTGAGAAAAAGGTGATTCCTAGTTTTTTAGATCAAAGATATTACACCTGTGTTGAGATCTTTAATCTTACAAACAAATTTCATCTACACCTTCCTCAAGATGTTTAGTTCTCATAATAGTCCCAAGTCCAAAGTCAAATAAATCAATATCTAAATTATTATTTGATTCTAAACAACAACAGATGTGACACAATAAAGTCAGAATAAATAGAAGAAAATATCAAAACAACTTAATAGGTTCTTACCACTCTTAAATTGATGCTAACTGTTTATCAACTAGGTTTTAAATAAAAGAAAATTAAGTTGAATACTCTGTTTTTCACAATATACCATAATTATCACCTTCAAATGATATTCAACAATTTTCTATTTTAAAATTCGTTATATTAAATGTTTCAATAATATGAAAGAAAGAGAAACTAAGTACATAAGCATATGAGTCGAGCTCACAGAACTGGTAATAAAAGATAATGGAAACAACCCAAAATATCAAATCTTAGATTACATTTACTTGTTATAGATCATTTCACTTACAAGTGCTCAATACTACATTTTTGAGACTGACAAGTAACAACGTGTATCATATAATTCATCATGGCAAATCAAACCTAATTGAATAAAGGGTTCAAGAAAAGACTAATTAATATCCTAGAATTCCAAATCATTGAAAAAAGTTTACAGATCATCTTGTGACTTTAAATCAAGCACTCACTATGCATTAATTACTTAATCCGTTTATATTATCAAAGCAGTGCATAGAATCTATGTATTTAGAATTGTAATTTTCCATACTTTTTAAGGGAATTAAATAGCAATAAGTCTGAAACCTCTCTTAAAATAATAACCAACAGAACCAGAACTATAATACCTCCAGGCAATTATACAAACTACACAAATGTTCAAAGAGAATTAAACAGAAACTAAATCAGATTAAAAATATCACATTTCAATCGAACATTCAGATCAGCTCTTGCAGAAAAAGGGCAAACTGACCTTGTCTTTCATTATGTCAACATGATATTCCAATAATCATTTTGTAACGTTAATGGTTCTATTCAATAATATGAGTGAAGTGTGAAGTGTAAATGAAAAGACAAAATGTCAAAAGACAAGAAATGTCATTGCTTATTCAATAATTCTGTGGTCATGTAGGATTAACACTGTGTTTCTTGTCACCAGTACTATATTGTACAAAATACAATCTTTGGGCAAAGAATTCGATGACAATGGTTCATATACATTATTTTGTCCATTGAATAACCCTTTGATGAGGAAAAATTCCAAAAAGGAACAGTTATATGCAGTTTTGTAAAGGTAATCCATTCACTCCTAAATAATATATATTTTTTCAGGATGAGAGTTGACAGAAGAAGAATTGAAGAAATCAGGTTTTGTATGTCCTAGATTTTTGTAATGTAATTTGTAGTATCTAACATTTAATCCTTCTTAAATTTCAAAATCTTCTGGCAATGGTGACATCATGAATTTGTACATAATTATGGTTATTTGGCCAGCAGGAATTTACACTTTAAATGTACAAGAACTATTCTCATAAAACAATGGTGTACTAATCAAATGAAAGCATGTGTAAAGAACTTTATAATGTCAATGATGGTTGTCAAATATAACAGGGTCACTATTTCTAATCATGTCAGCAATTATGAAATATATAAATAAACTTACTTTTCATCTTCTATGTCCATAGCCTCCAATTCAGATGTCACCTCTTCAATCTCACGACGAAGTTCCTAGATAAATAGATAGAAAATTCCACGTTTAATTAACTCAATCTCAATTTCAATACTTTAGTAACAGAAAAATGCCCAATTAAGTCTAAATATTGAATATATTGTTTTCAAGTCAGACTAATATTAATGGTCAGACTTTGAATTCAATGAGTGTTCTTAATACAAAAGACAAAGGAAGATTCACATTGAAGTCTATCAAGATATGAAAATATTTAATATTGCTTTTCATGTCTTGTAGTTCATATGTCTCAGAATGAAAATTAAGGACAAAGGTAGCATACCTGAATCTCATCTATAAGCTGTTTCTTTTTATCTCTTATACTGTTTAGTAAGGTCCTTTCATTTGAAGGAAGATCTGAAAAAATAAGGAGAAAGAGATGAATTTTAGTTCATGAAAATTAACTACGGTACCAGCTATTGATTTAATATCCTTCTTGAATCCTCTTCATTCCTTAATTCTCTGGAAAGGAATAGGAAGAACGTTGACACTTGGTTAATTATCAAAAGCAAAAACAAAAGAAGTTTCTTTCCTAGATCTTAATAACATATTATCTCTAAGCTTATGCTCTCAACGTTTAATACTAGGCTGCCTATTGTCATTAACGATTAACGAGGAGTGGACATTGGCTGCACTATATGAGACTATCAGATCATCTGATAAGGGATAGTTTGTTCACCAAAAAAAGTAGAACTTTTGTATATGTTGAAATTTGAGGAAAAATGTGACTGAAAGTGTAGTCAACAACAATTTGAAGTTTAGGTTTACAATTAGATCAGGGGATTGTATTTTGCACCACTGGCTTTCAGTGCACTGAATTGATTGAATCAAAAAGAGAGCCTGTCCGCCTTGGTTTGGGAAAACTAAACTGGCGAATCTTGATTGAAGGGATATCAAAACGACATACTAATTAACTCTATGACATGCTATAATAGGTTACACAAGGTAACTATGTAGCACTTCCTATAAATCTGAAATGGGTGTTGTCATAACTTTTTGTTTTCATTTTGAAGGCCTAAATTTTTTTTCTATTTTGGCTGATAAATATTTCTGTGTACCTTCTTCATTGAAACCACCATCTTGATTAGTTTCCACCATGGTGGCACTCATTTCTCGCCAATCTACTAAATTGTTAAGATTGTTTTTGAATAGCTAGCGATCAAATTCTGTCTTCTCTCACCAACTTCCTCTTCTAGCAAAGTCAGCCATTATTAATTTCTCGCGAAATCTCGTTCAAACGAGAACAGGTGCATTGGTCAAAAAAAGTGAATAGATCTCAAGATGTTTTTGTCTCTTGTTTAATGAACAGATCTAAACAAAGCCAAAAACAGTATTAATATTCTTCGCAATTCAAGAAGTTGTCGATCAACAAAGCTCTGAATGATCTTGGAGCGGAGTGACGAATAAAGACACGCCTACTTTTACTCCACAATAATAATATGGGCTGACTAAGACTGGAAAGCAGAGTATGTTTGTTAGTCAGAAATTGGACTTTCCGACTTCTTATCATCACCGATTGATGTTGAAAGGTTATGGTTATATCTTTTAATGTCATGTATGTCTTATTCCTTACCTCCGTCCACTCTGTTGGCTTTCTCCATTCTTTGTATTTATATCTTGAGTTCTTGTAACAATGTATTTTGACAGGTCTTTGATTCCTTAAATGCCTAGTTTAGTTTAGCATTATATTCATAGAATTTTCAGATCCAGTTGTGCTTGTCCTCCCAATGATTTGCATACATTTTTTCAAATATCCTATTTCAATTGTTCACCTGTATGACATTGAATTTTGAATGTCAATGCTCTCTTGTAGACATTGCTTTGTATCACAGTCTTCACTGTGAAATCAGTTTCCAGTTTCTGCAATTGCACTTTTGGTGTTACGCAATATGTCCATCTACTCCAATTTTATACTTCCCAATTCTTACTACACAAATGTGAAGCGTACACAACAAGATTTTCTGTTTTTATGGCTAAAATAACGAAATTCTTCACAGTGGCTTCTTAGTTGAATGGCATTCAGTACATTTTTATCATAGGTTTAAAATGTCATGGTTAAAAATATATCTACAAACACATACAACACCTGTAAGCGTATTGTCTTCGTATTTTACAAGTCCCATGATGTCAGACATTTTGCATCAGTAGATCTTCTCAGAGTTGGTAAAATGTTTAGTTTTTTGTTGAATTTTCAATCCATCCACATAATATTTAAATATTTGAAACAGATTTAGATCTATAGTTTGTTGAACTTGATTTGATGTATTACAATTGAGTAACTATTCTGTATTGAGAGTTATCATACACTGTAGAATTGTAAGGTGAAACTTTTCATATGGCATGAGTTTTTTCTCGATAAGAATTCTTTGGCATTTTATTAAAAACACATGATTTATGTGCAGCTCTGTCTATCTTTTTGTGAATTTTACATTTGTCTGCAAAGGGGAAACTAACATGCCGTAGCCTTAGATCTTCATTCTTTTTTTTATTTCTATAATTTATTCTTTTCTTTTTAATTGAATATCACTTGAATTGAAGAACTATTATTTAAAGTGATATTATGGAGGTTTTCTAAACTTTTTATGTGTATTCGGGGCACTGATGGACTGCACCGTTCAAATTTTCAGTCAGACATCTGTGGGCCTTGCAATTCCTATAAAACTAAGCCCTTTATGGCATTGCTATTACAAGGGCCAAGATATTATTGATAAGGAGCCTAAGCAATATTGACCTCATATTGTTAAATGATTACAGGGATGACAATTATCTGATAGGCAATTGAAATGACCTCGATACACATAAGAAAGCTAAAAACATCTATCAGCTCCTTAAATTATTCTTAAGTTTGTAGATGAACATATGTTGCCTTTTTTGCTTGAATGTATTAAAGTTATATAATTTTTATTCAAACATTTTTGATGATTTTTTCAGGCCTTCTAATTTGAAGATAGTTGAAAATTTAGAGATAAAATGATAGAAGTATTAACCTAGCAATCATGATAATTTTATTGATAGCTGTGTCTGTTGTACTGACCTGCTCTCTAGTGGTGGCCATCTTGGGATGTATTCAATGCTTTGTTGGTAAAAAGGCAAGGGGTTTTTCGGTAAGTTCTAAGCTGTTGTAGCCTACATATTGTAAATGTGTCAATTATTACAATTTTAACGAACTGATTTCATTTGATTATTAGTTTACTAATCCTGAAACCAAGACAATATGTGGTTAGATTGTTAAGAGAAATGCAATGCAGCTATTTTAGTATATCAATGAAAATGTAACTTTAATTTTTCAGAATTTCCAAAATCCAGATGAAGAAGCTCCATCAACGTCAAGGGAAAATGCTGGATTTTCATTAGAGCCTTCTGATATAGCTTCAGCTGAATCACAAGATAGTGAATTGGCTTCAGTGTTAATAGAACCACTGCCTGATATCTTGTCTAAAACTGTCTCTACATCAGCTCTAAGACCTAGAATACGGTGTAATGATAAACTAAAACGAGATTCCTCTGTGAGACTGATCAGTAAGTTTTACATGATTTCTTTGCCAATGATTGCAAAGAATGATGAAAAATTAATCCGTTTAGCAAGGATGAAATCAACAGGAATAATTAATAACAGTACTTCCAGTATCATCTGAGGAAGCCATAATCTAGTACTCTTAATGGCTGAATTATGCATAGCTGTATTTGTGAAATTTGAAATATTAGAGTTACAACCTAATGACTTTTCAGTACCTAAAGATAAACTTTCATTTGATTTACCTTTTTAGCTGTTCATCATCCCTTTCCTAGAGTTCAGTTAACATATCTGAAAGAAATAGGTTCAACTTGGTTTGGCCAGGTAATTAATGTATTTAGTTAATATACTTTCATGCATGTTAAAGAGATCTTGCCTGATTAAATTCTTACTACCTTTGACTACCAGTATGACTTTGCAAAATAAAATTTCTGCTTCAAGTTCATTAAAATTTAATCATAAACAAATTTTCAATTGATTGGTTTGATTGATTGAAACTAAAGTGATGATATTGATTAAACGAAAATGCCACTCTATCTGTCATTTGCATTAATGAGATTTTCTTTCAGTGTAGTTTAACAGAAATTTGCTTTTCACTTTAAAAAGTGTTACAGGAAGCCAAATTTAAGCTCAATAATTGTAAAGTCCCTTTAAAACAGACATGTAGACTATATAGAAAGTAATGCTGAAATAACTGATAAAAACATAATGAGTATAGTCTTACTGAAGATATCTTGGCATATGTTCTAAGAGTAGGGCGTTATTAAGAATAATTAAATATTGATAAGAACCATGGTATATTGAAAGATATCTATTATATCTATTATTATTACAGGTAATTGAATCAGATGCCGAGAGAATTATAACAGGTGTATCAAGAAATAGAGTTATTGTGAAGGTTCTCAGTGATAACGCTACTAACGTTGAACAGAAGCAATTCCTGGAGGATGTGGCATCGTTTCGAGAATTAGATCATACTAATATTATCAGATTGTTAGGCCAGTGTACAGAAACTACACCATTGTTGATGATTCTGGAGTTTGCTCCCTTGGTATGTTTGAATTTTGCTTCATAATAATGTAAAAAGGTCACCTTGATGCATTTTGATCCAGCAAAATACTACTCATGTCAGTACGGAATCAGTATATTTGAATCAATTCTTTCCAGATGTGCCTTAAAAATATTGAAAGGACTTAAGTTGTAAATGTTCAACTGCATTAGAAAAAAAAAATTTGCTTCTGCTTGAAAATGCTGTTCGAGAAAACTGTTCATTTTTATTTCTATAATCTACTGCTTTCATTTAGAAGTATTGCTAATATTAATGACCTATTAATGAAAATTGTGTTTATTTCTAGGGTGATCTTAAAGCTTATTTAAGAAATCATAAAGTTGGTACACCATTATTTAATGAGAAGAATTTACAGTTGAAGTTTGCTTTAGATGTTGCTAGTGGTTTGGCTTGTTTACATAAACATAATTATATACACAAGTGAGTTATTTATAAGTCTAGTTTAGTGCATACATATATTATATATTCTTTAAAAATTAATGTGAAAATTTTATTTGATTTTGAGGTTGAATAAGTAATTTGTACACTTTGTGGATACAAAATTAAAATTTGATGTCCAAAGATCAGTTTTGAAGTTTAGAGCAATTTTCTTCACCAATTGTTGAAAGGCGAAGTTTTGGTGCTTCCTTCACAGTACGTTCTGGGTCGTCAACTTCAACTTTCTGAAAATATAAGGCTACTCAGTACTCATGTGACTGGTATATAGTTGGTGGACAGGAATTATAATTATATCCCTGTAAATTACATTGAAATTATTATATTCCAGTGATTTAGCTACTAGAACATGTTTAGTAACTGGAGATCAAACTGTTAAAATAGGTGATTATGGTATCTGTGAAGAGAGATATAAGGTATATCACTTTCTCTCTATATAAGATTTTTGACATAGTAGAGATATGACAGGCAAATTGAAAATAACTGGTCTGTGTCATACATTTAAATGATAGAAGCATATAATATTCAAAAATTATTCATAAGATAAAACAAGAAATGTTTATAAACTTGATAGAGATCTTTGTTGACTTGCAAATAACAATAAAAGATCTATATACAGCATTGTCATGCTATATATCATACTCACAATAATTGCTAAATGTCATTTAAAGACTTTAATGAAAGATCTAATGAGAGATATACATGTAATTCATTTTGTACTTATCATAGCAATGTCAAAATAGTGAATAAAAGTGAAAAATATAAACAAGACCTGATTAGAGTTAACCTAAATTTCATGAATGTAATGATTTATTGCAGACTGATTATTTTAACAATGGTCAAGAATTGTTACCATTAAGATGGATGGCACCAGAGACTTTGGAATTACAAGATATCACCTGGCAAATCACAGAAATTACACAAGCTAGTAATATCTGGTAAGGATTAATTTATGTCTTTTCAAAACTCTAATAATTTTGACTGGAAATGGTTAATTGAATTTCTTCAGCTTTCTAATTTCTAAAGCAAGAAATACAAAGAATGTTGAATTCAGTTGCATAGAAGTAGTTGAATTTGGTTGAAGAGCTGAAAAATATGTCATTGAAAACTGGATATAAAGATGAAATAGATTCAATGTGCTAATGGATATATTGTAATTAGTATCACATTCAGAGAGTTCATATAAGTACATAATAACATTTGTGTGAAACCTTTCATTGAGTTCACATACATGTAGCTATCTATTAACATTAATTTGAAACTCATTCAGAGTGTCTTCATAGTTAATGTTAAATTGAAACCTTTTTATTGATCCAAGTATACCCAATAACATATATACATGTATATAGTATTGCATTTGTGTATATTAATTATGAATTAATATAATTTGTAGGTCATATGGTGTATTATTATGGGAACTAATGACCTATGCTACTGTTCCCTATACAGCTCTACCTGATGAACAGGTTTTAGATGGTGTTATTAAACAGAAACTTATTAAGTTACAACCACCATCTGATACCAACATACCACATAAAGACAGAATGTAAGTAACAATGACTTGTATAATAGGTGGTGCTGTGGTGAATTAGACAGTAACTCTGGGATTCAATTCTTGCATAGGTTGAGATAGACCTTCCATATTTTTTATCCCAGTTCCTTTCAGTGAGTAATGTTGTCTCTTTTGTATACTATGAAGGATATGTTGTGGTTTGGAATAGGAGTCTGAAGTCTATTCCTTACAAAGGTTCAGATCCCTCCATATTTTTGAACCAAGTTTGTGTGTTATGAAGGATCTGTTTTAGAAATTTAAAGGTTTTTAAGATAGGACAAAAATCTCAAGTAAACCATGTGGAAAGACCAAAGCATTGATATCAGCAATGAATGCTGCTTTCCGTAAAATAAAATCTTGATTTGATTATTTTCTATAGACTATATATCTTATGATAATTTCAGATTTGAGGTGATGCAGTTTTGTTGGTTGAAACCTGAACAAAGACCCACAGTAGAGGAAGTACATGGGTTATTACAGAGACTGTACAAACAGAGTGTCTCTGTATCAGAGAACTCTGTAACTGATGATGAATTTGAAAAAAAGTGGGATAGTTTAATCCCTAAAGAAGTCCAAATACCAAAACAACATAATATTCCTGTCACCTCCATTGACTCGCATAAATTTGAATCCGATTTTACCTCATCCAATGAAAACCCAGCTTTAACTAAATCCGATGACAGTGTGAAAAGAGAGAAGTTATCAACCACTGTGAATGGTGGATTAGATTTCACTCCAGCCTTACGATCAGATAGTTCTACATCCACTCCATTTAAACCGATACGGAAACATCTGACTAGCACGCCTTTAAATAAAGACAAAAACTATGATAAAAATAGCATAGAGAACAAACATGACTCAATAGAAGCTATTATGAAATCTGAAGACGTCACGTCCATGAATGATTCAGCCATTGAAGACGATGCTTTTGAGAATAACAGCAAACCAGATGATAATAGACAAGCCGAGACATTAGCGACATCGGTCGAAACTGTGACCTCGGGAGTCGTGACTGGTGATTTCTCTTTAAGCGGCAAACATTCAGATCAGCTGGTCTTGTCAACGTCATTACCAGGCCCAGAAATCCAAAGTTATACCAAAGATGTTTCAAACAGCCAACAACCACAATATGAAAACACCACCACAAATAAAAACCAGCCAGAAACAACTTCATCTTTAAGTCGAGATGATCAATCCAGTTTAGAAACCACCAATGACCTCGTAAGTGTTGAGTCAGAGTTGCCCAATTCTACAAAGGATTCATTTGATATTGTGTCGGACCTTAGTACAGAGAATCTAATAAGTAGTGACAATCTGGAATCAACTCAAGAAACCACTAACCAGACTGAACAACCTGATATGTCTGATAATATAGATGCAGTGAACAGTCCTAGAAAATTGGAAGAAACATCCAACAAAGATGCTGTCAGTGATTCACCTGATGATATTGAAAGTATTACAAAACCACCCACGGATGAACAAGAATTCAAGGAAAGTAATAAGCTAGAAGAATCAGCACCTGAGATTATTATAGAAGGCAACTCCCAGCTGTCTACCCATGACTCTGTTTTTGATAACACCAACAAAAATAACTTTCTGGTTCCAGAGTTATTAAATCCCACATCAGCTGATATTGACTCTACACTCGGCGCTGATATTGATGAGTTTTTGAATGCATCATTCAATAACAGTCCATTAGATAAATCTGTTGATAAATCCTTAACAGATTTCTCTGAATTAGATGCGATTTTGAACAATAAGTTAGACTTAACAAACTCAATAGAGGAACAGAATGAAAGTAATGTGGAACATGAAGGGAGAATTTCTCCTCATGACAAGATGAAAACCCCTGAACAAAGGACAATTTCTCCCAACCTCACAGAAGACAGTGAGTGTAGCCAAGAAGGTAAGTTAGAAAATAATGAGTGCAATCCTCTCCCAATCCTGAGTGATAAAAGACTAGATATTTGTGACATAAAAAGTAGTACACCAGTGAATAATTATGGTAGATACTCTCGAAAGATTCGGCAGTACGATCTAAACGATGACAGTCGAGTAAATGGTACATGTAGTCCGGTAGTTAACGTGACCAGTGAAACAAGTAGTTCTCAATCAGACGATGACACTTCCTCTACGAGTGGCAGCTCCTATATTTGTGATTATAGTGTAAATGATATTGAAGAATGTGATCAGATTGAGAAAGTGAAAGTAGACAACAGTATCAATGACTACTTAGAAACAGGGTGCATACCGTTCAGTATGAATGATGAACAAATACAATTCGCTAGTGAACTCTACCTCTCAAAAGGAATGAATTCCCCGTCAATATTTGAACGGACCACATTGGAAACCATTCCAGAAGATGATTTACCGGCTTCCCCAAAACGTGTTGAGAGAAATGATGTGAAAAATGAGACTCACTTTGAAGATGTGTTCCCCTCTCAAGATAATTTTGATTTTGAGTGGGATGATTTTATGGGTGAATCGTTAGTAGGAAGACCTCGTAGTACGGACATGTCACCTAAACGAGCGTTAGATTTCAGTGATTGGATGGTGGAAGATGACAATATGAGTTTAAAGAGTAATAGTAGTGCTTTATCTTATTCTAAAAATATAAATGGTGTGCGAGGTAGTACCAGATCTGATTTTAACAGTGCTGATTCGTGTGACAATACAAGTAATTTGTCGTCTGTGTCTGACAGTGAGGTAAAACGAACACAACCACAAACTAAACCCCGATCTTATATATCTGAAATTATAGCTAATCGTAGTACAGGCTCTTTAACTTCTAACTTTAAAAATCACTATAATAGTAGCTTCTATTCTCTATATGATAATCTCGATCTAGATGACTCTACAACTGACGACTTTCTTCAAACAGATCTCAATATTTCCCATGAATCTCGTAATCTACAATCTGTGCATGTCTCAAACGGCAGTAAAAACAAAATGGCTGCCTATGGAACTAACCAGGTACGATCTTGATGTTTGATGTTTATTCGGTGTATATTCAGCATGCTGTATATTTTTGGTTGTTTGGTTTATTTTGTGTGTTTTGTTTGGTCATGCTGTGAACCCACCCCAGCTTTTGTTTAACACACTAATTTTCTTTTTGTTTACTGCTTTTTTAACATCACCTAAAAAAACTCACTTTTGACTTTACAAATATGAATGTGACAGTACTAGACTAAGCACTCTAACAAAAAAACAGAAGCAGAACTGTGAAATTCAGAGAAACTGAAGTCTCATTATTGTCTTTCACCAAAAAAGGACCACATCAAATGTGTTTTTCTGTCACTGGCACTGATATTTTTATATTTATCAAATGTTGGAAAAAGCAGTGAACTTAAATGTTGTAATTTAAACGCATGCTTAAGCCATTTGGATGGGAAATTTAAGTTATTTCATTAGTGGTAACTTTTCAATTAATTTGTTCATTTCATTTTTTTATGTTGTTCAGTTAATTTAAAATATTATTTTGATCTAAAATCCACAAAAATTTTGTGCATGACAGCTAGAAATTTATAAATTATAATGAGTATATAGATCTAGAAATAAATCAACCTATTAATGTTTGAATAAACCAAAAGAATTTCAATGTTTTAAACAATTAACATGCCTGGAATGCTTCTGTTAATCCTATGTTTTATTAACATGGAGGTATTGATGATAGTAATGTATATATTATATTCTATATTTTAGGTATTTGAGCCGACGATAATGACGACAGATTTAGATGAAGATTTGCCGCCATTCAATGATTTAATGACAGATATCAGTGGTAATACAACATCAACTATTATTCACAACTCACAACACAGTTTCTAATTCTAATGTAATCCAATTCCAAGTGTTTCAAAGTACGGAATAATTCCAAACAAAATACACATTTCTCATAACAATGTTCAATTATTTTAGTTTGAAGGTAAATACCAACAAACTAACCTGAACTGTATTTCAAAAATAAGTATTTCAAATTACGTTCAAAAGTTTTAGCTGAAATGTGAATATCAAGAACCTAACCTGTATTTCGAATACTAGTATTTTTTACAGAAAATATATCCTCATTTTCGAAAGTTAGGTTTGAAATAGGAGTGTGAACATAGTTTCGAACTAAAACTGTATTCTATATACTTGTATTACTTATCAAAAATTACCAAAATCAGCTATATATTATGATTTTCAAAGCTTTGAAAAAATGAAATACCAAAACCATAACAGTTGCTGATAAAAAAAGAAGAAATTTAGTTAAATTCGATCCCTCCATGGTCACATAATTTTTGTTTTGTTGAAATGTTCCATAATGTGCAATTACATAAGATATATGAATATACTTTATCTGAAGTTTTAAAACTCAATTAATTTGAGCTCATAATGTGGATATTCAATCCTCATCAGGGCATTGAGCTTTGGAAATGGGTTGCTTGAAAGTAGCCACATGTTTCACATTGAGTTTTGAATACAGCATATTTTATATATAACAAGTAATTTCTTATTTATGACCATTTCTATATTGTCTTATGAAGATTAATCATTTTATTCATCAAGTTTTGACTGTGTATTTGTTAGTAAAGAATATATTACATTAGGTTGTGTATTTATTTCATTTACAAATTGAATTATTTAGTATAAAATTTTGTGAAAAGCTCAATTTTCTTTTGATTTTTTGGCTCTCAATTTTTTTCATTTATTTTTCCTTTACATCAAATATACCCTACTATATTTATAAAATATTATATGTCTATTAGTTTATAAACCTAAGGATAGAGTTAGTGATTATTATCTCCCTCATTTATATGTCATAGTTAAAGTATATGAGCTTTTTTGTTTTAAACCAAATATATTCTATTTAGAACAAGTTATTCAGCTTAAGTTATTCGGTTATAAATACTAAAAATTGTTTTCATTATACATTGTTCTGTAACTGCCATAAGAATGAACTTATCTATGACATGGAATTATTATAATATAAATTTATATCTTTATCTGCCATATTAAGAAAGTATATGAGGTTATTGGTTTATAAGCTATATTATATTCTACGCTTTCATATTGAACATACTTTAAGTCATTAGCAATATATTAAAACTAATAAGAAATGTGATATTTATTATAAAGAGATTTTTATATTTAGATAGAGTCTATTTTTATAATGTAATGGTGATAGTTCTTTACATTTCATTATCTCAATCCATCTTCCCTAGGTCAAGGCAGAGGTACAGGGATGGTCAATGCTAGGCATACAGGCCGTGCTATGTTAGTTTGAGGGAAAGTGCTTTCCTAAAATTGAAGTTCAGGCACTAGGTCTTGTGCTACTTGTTTGATACAAGAACAAACATTTGGAGGGTGATTGTAGAGTGGTATAAATGATCTTGACTTTCCCTGCATTCAAATTTCTGCAAGATTAGGTGTCCAAAAGTAACCACTCTCCTTATAACCACAGGCCCGAACATACTTTCATTAACTTAAAGATTATAAAGCCTTGTCTATGGGGTAATGATCTCTTTGCTGTATTGTAATTATAACCTTTGAAAATGTGCAATAACCAATCAATTTTGATTATTTTATTTGGTGCTTACTTTGAAAGATTTTTTGGGTTGTCTCTGAGATGCCAAGTTATGTTCCATTACATATCTTTTTTCGGCATGGCATGTTATGGTACTGAAATTGTCTTTCACAATGACCGTTAATGCCAGTCTCCTTTTGTCAAGACATGTCCTAAATTATTTTTTATTTCAGTCAGTGTTGTCCTTCAGTTTAATTCTATAAGTGTTTTGAAACAATTGTAAAAGATATACAATCAACATTATAAATATATTTATCACAGGAGAATATAAATTACTGATTTTGATGGAAAAGAGAAAATATATTATATTTAGATATCCTTATTCATCTAGGTCAATCAAACTATCAATTCCATGGAGAAAAAAAAATTAAAGGATACTGGCGTAGATAAATACATTCCAAGTTAAAAATCTAATCTAATGTTCTGTAACAAGATAGCAGTTGGATTTATATTTCAAAAGTAATTAGTTAATAATTTTCTGAGGTGTTTCATTGATTATCATATGAATATATCCTTGAAACATCCATATACAAGCCTTGTAATATATACCTATACATCGAATGGGATTAATAATGCTTGTCTTCCAGTTCTGTAAGGAAAAATGAAAGTAGTCTATTAATTCCTATATTTAGTAACTTCTGTCTCTCTCATTCTCTGTATAAGGAAACTAATAATGTAAAGGACTATGACCGCTGTGTATATTATGTTAATTTGTAGTTATTTATTATGCTGTCTATATGGTGCTAGTTATTGACCTTAGTTTAATCATAATAGTCCATTTTCATCTTCCATAATATGTAATATACATTTTGTTCATATTCTAGGACAAAAATACCCAGGTTGTCATTCCTTCATTTGAAAATTTTAACCAACATCATACTATTTGGTCTCAATTATAATAGCATATTATTTCTTTATTTGTATATTCTATACCTCTGTTTACCAATACTTAGAATCGGAGACATGGTATATCATGACATTATAATGTAAGTCTTTAAACCTTTTTGAGTTGTGAATTGAAATTAAATATGAACATATCACACTGCTATAAATATTATTAAATAATTTGATTGTTATTATATACATTGTTTTTATTCAAGATTATTATCAAGATAGCAGCTTTTTTCCTTTGATCTCTGCTGTACAATAGCTTCTCATACTTTCATCAACTCTACTATCTCTTGCTTTTTGTAGTAAATTGAATTTTACTGATTATTTTTATGTTAATTGGAATTTAGCTTCTAAAAGAAATGCTACAAATGATTCAGCATGGATAAAAATAAGAGGCATGAACTCATTTCGAAGCTGAGAGAATTTCTGCTGTAATTTTGCACAGCAAAGTTATATTTTTATCATCACAAAGTCAATCTTAGACTGTCAGTAAGACTGTATTGAAGTGTAGAATTCCTTCAATTGACACACGCAAGACAGTAGGTGGCGATGGAGACCAAATCAATAGCATTCTTGCATTTACATGTTATTATGGCTGGATGGAGAAAATATAAGTCCTGATTAAATGAGGGAATTAAATATATAATAATAATTGTAATAAATATGCATGTATATCATTAATAAATAAAAACAAACATCCTAACATAATAATAAATAAACAGACAACAAGGCACTCTGATAAATTCAGGGCCAAATCCACAGAAATCTCAATGTCTTATTGTTCTTTTAAAATATCCAAATAATTAACTTGATTTTTAATTAAATTTATCAAAAATTCTATCTCAGATGCAATGAGGAAAAGGCCCAGCTTTTGAGTTACTGAAAACATATTTTACCAATGGAATGTCATATCAATAAGCATGAAAAAAGCTGTATTTTACATGCTGAGGTTTCAAAATGGGCAAAATTATCAGTATCTAAAGATACAAGCAGGAGTATGTTATTCAATAAAAGTGTAAAGGTGGGTTAAAAAATGTCACAGAGTTCATTTCAAGGTAAAGCACCATTTTTTACTGAGAAGAAATCCCAATATTAAAATTCCACTTAAACCAGCTGATAATTTGAACCACTTTCTTGATCCTAGTGTATACTGTACAGTTCTTTGATAAGTTATTCCAGATTGTTGTAAATCATCCACAGTAACAGACTGTGGTCGTATTTCTTGCAGGATTTCTACAGCTGTACGAATTCCAGCCTGTACAGCTCCACTCATATAACCACACCATTGTGTAGCTGATTCTGTTCCTGCAAAATGTATTCTGAAAGAAAAAACCGTATTTATAGTCAAGAAATATGTCTCCTAAACCTATAGAGATCTTCAATAAAAAATTGGGTTTAAAAAAAGTAAAATTCTATTTACTTTATTGTTTTAGGGTTTTGTGAATATTTTGATGAAAAAAAAGAATGAACATAACATAATACATACCTTTGAAATGGTTTTCTAACACCATCCACAAAATATCTCATATTTCCTGTTGCTAGGCAACAAACAGGTGCCCCTACTATATATGGTTCTTTATTCCAATCTTGTTCAGTATAATCAATAAAATCTAAACAACTTCCTCCCCAAAATACAGATAACTGATGTAACACAGACTTCTGTCTTTCTTCTGGCTAGTTTAAGTAAAATGAAAAAGAATTGATAAGGGAAATTTTCTACTATTAATACTATTTTGAAGCTTTTAACCGTCAAGACATAAGATGCAGAAAGCCTTAATTTTTCTTCTAATATAAGTGAATAAATAATTCTACTATATCAAAATATTTCTATTAGAGGAAATATAAAGTCAAGATATAGAAAACTATGGACACAGGCTGAAACAAGTCAGTTGTCTGAAGATTGCACCGTGTGAAACACTAGTAATGACATGTTTCAGGTTCTTTAATTAATATTTCTAACGTACTGTTTTATCCATGTATTGAACACATTGATAGCCTGATATAAACACCACTAGAGCTGGGTTATTATTATGAGTGGTAGCATCAAATACTAAACATATTGGCCCTGTTTCACAATCTGATATTATACTAGAACCACCATTACTGACAACTTCTCCTGAATAGCCCTGCTCTCTCCAAAACGCCTAGAAATATAATATAAGTCCAAGCATATGTCCACAAAAACAGAAACTTATATTCTAGTCAATAGATATATCAAATGAAATCTTTCAAGGACTCAAATATTTGATCATCACAAAGCCCTTGTCTGTATCGTTTGCAAAAAACCAGGATGTTTTAAATATTATTGTATGTCAATGGGTGTTTCAGATTCTATTTTCATTTACTTAACCATCAATTGTCTCAGGGAATACCATCCACTGTATAGACCATTCAAGCCAATCACAAATCATTCAGACCTACCTCTTTATATGTTATGATTATTTTCATCATGTTTCCTTTCTGGAAATGTCGGACTATTTCTAATTTAGAACTTGGTAACATTGGCTCAAATAGTATACTACCTACAAGAGATGAAAACTGACTTTCAACAAATTTTAAATGTACCAGGGAACATTTTTGGCGGATTTCACATATTCCCAATGTTCAGTTTGTTTAAAAAATAAAGCCTTAATATCTGTTTTAGAAAATTCCAAAGTTAAAGCCCCCAATTTAATCTATAAATCTTACCTAATGCTGGTGGAGGTAAAGCAATAATTAAATATTTAGAACTATACTTGTCGCCATTTTCAGTTCTGATAGTAACAATGTCACTTCTTGTGGCCTAAAGAAAAATGGAATGAACATTTGGGAAATTGATCCACACTATCAGTGTTCAATATGGGAAATTTTGTCATGACAGAGGTATAAGCCAACTCTGTTTTGATTACCAACACTGTAGGGATCTATTAACAATCTGCAGCACAAAGGGAGTATGGTTCTCAAGCAACTGATATACATAACAATAAGCTGTTAGTAATTCTTTAATCTGTTTTACCTGATGAACATGTGTAACAGGTTGATTTAACTTGACTTTATTCTTACCAATTTTATCTGCTATCTTTAAGGATACTTGTTGAGCACCTCCCTAAATTACAAAATGCAACAAGTAAAATGGGTTTAGAAATAAAGAATGACTTGTGTTTCAAAATACTCTTAAATATATTGTCTATATTTGGGAAATTAATATAACATTTTGGAAGCAGGAGCCTTAAACTTTCACTTTTCAAGAAATCTTAAAATCTTTTTCATGCAGTAGTTCAACAAATTTAAGAAATAAGCCATTCCAGTTCACAACCCCAGACACCTTTCAGCTTCACTCACCTGTATTTTAAATTCTTGAGCAGCATTTTCTGTACATTCTGTTAGGTTCTTAAGACCATCGGCAGAATCAAGATACAGTAAAAAGAACAAGAATGAAAATTGTGATGGTTCCATACCCAAAACACCTCTGTTGGCTGCATAAATAGTATCTCTGGCACCTTGAATAGACACAAAATAGAAATGAAATGAATAGAATTGGGAGTTTTGCACCCAACTTTTCTGCACCATATTCGACTACTGAAGACAGCAAATGCCATGCTGTGTGCAATGAGGTGGCAAAAAAGAACTGATTCAAAGTAAAAGATTACTAATGTGACAAGACTGTTTCACTATCGTTCTGTCCATTTCCAAAATAGTTCCAAATCCAAAGGAGTCTCACATTTTTTAATTGATTGAGCAATGCAGAGGGATGATGCCATATAGAGTGTCTCTGACAAGAAAGTCTCTGTGTACCTTTTGTCCATGTATTTTGTTGTATAAATGTATCCAAAGTAATGGAATCCCAATAAACAGCTTTAGGACAAGACCATGGGTCATGGATACTAACTTTTTTTCTCAGTTTTTCTACCTGAAATAAATAATTTTTTCATGCAACATCAGATATGTCTTTTTTTTCTTTAAGTCAATAGCTAATGATGTTTATTCATTGATACTTGTTTGACCTATAGGCCTATTGTCTTCCATTCTGTGATTGAATCTAAACCATATCTGTAAATAATATCATCAGCTGATATCTACAAATAATTACTACTCACCTTCCAAATATAGTTCTGTAGATCTAATAAGGCAAGTATTGACAGGGAAGGAATGTCTGATTGATAGGTTCTAGGCCGAACATCACCCAGCTGCATAAATTTAGTGCCATTTGTATATTGTTTGTATGTTTCTACACCCAATTCTTGTAGTAAATTCATTATATGGGTTTGAGACCTGAAATTACAAGAAAAATGTTATGAATTGACATATGAAAGACATGGTTTTAAAATGTATTACTGATGCTTTAAACATAAAATCAGTTGCCAACCTGAACATAGTTTTACGCAAGGACTTTCAAAGAAATGCCTAACTTTTAAGTATTCTTATCTCTTAATTCCCTTTTAAAGTTGTGATAAATGTAGATAATTCTTCCCTACTCTCCTAAGGAAACATTACAAAGCCCCAATTATGTTATTCTTACCTGCCGACCCATTGACCCCCCAAATCCCAGTGATCTTCTCCATTTGCTGCCTTCAATGGTACAGTTAATGTTCTTCCTCCGACACGATCTGAAAAAAAAAAACATATGCACAGTGACATTTTGGAAAGTTTATTATCACAATATCTAACAAATAATTAGTTTTTTTATCTAAGGCCTATCCACAGACTTGGCCTTTTGGTTGAGGTTGCTTTTGTTTTTTTGGATTAATCACTTAGCCTAGCCTAAGCTGCGTTTTTTAAGTGCATATACCCATCACTGGATTAATGATATTTTGGGGTCTTTTTGTCTGTCAATATTTGTTTAACAAACCATACGAGTAAAATTGGATCATACAGAATGAAACGTTTTCGGGTAGGCAGTTTGCATACACCAGACCAATAATGTCAAAAACCGCAAAAGTAACATACCTTTCGCTTCTATTATCAGAACATCTAAACTTGGGTCCCGTTTCAGTAGGTGGTGAGCAGCTGTCAAGCCCGATATCCCAGCCCCAACTATGATGACATCGTGGGGTTTAGGATTGTCCATTGCCTCAAGTTTTATTTTGGAGAAATTCACTCCAAAGTTCAACTCAAACAAAAGTTATCTCCCTTGTGAAGGGTTTGTCTTAATAGTACAATGTACTCAAATTGATTGTAAAGCTTGGCAACGATTACGCAATTGGCCGTTCTAATGCCTGACCATAATAGTTCCAAATGAACTTTGCTTTATTTATTTCGTTCTGAAATATACATAAGTACTTCCATTGAATAGATGAACATTTCGTTATTGGGAAATTAAAGGTACAACTCTACAAAGAACGGTACATTTGCGTTCTAGCAGTAGCCAAATCTCTTTCCTCATGTGCGGTGCATTGTGGTTACAAGGTATAACAACATGGCTGTCCTTATCAAGAACGTGAGGTCTTTGGCCAAATTAACAACTTTGTCACTTCGTACGACTGTTCCAAAGGTTGCCGCGTGTGCATTAGTGCATAAAAATAATGAAACTCAAAGACTCTTTTCAAATATCAGACCTTCGTTAACGTGTACACAGGTAATTCAGAGGACAACACAAATGTCCTTGAAACTTTTATGAATTCCCAAATAAATTTATGTAATTTTCCTTGCCTTGAGTTGGGTTTAGCTTATTTTTATTCTATGGTTAGGGTATCAAACTCTTACTCACAAAAGGAAGTGAAATCATCGAACATTACTGCATAGTCTCTAAGGGGGTGGCTTAATGGGTGAGTTCTGCAATTTTAGGGGGGGGGGGGGGAATTTTGAATGTGACATAATTGGCTTTCATACCATTGGATTGAGGGCAGACCTGCAACAAACGGAGCCTGTTCGCAATTCCCAATCAATTGCTACCCCTGGCCATCTGCGTAACTGTTTCAATTTCATGCAATTTACTGCATCTGTATAATTCTTACTTGCATGCTGTGATGACATTGATAAAATATTGGTTTACATATTTTGAAAATGTAAAAATAATGACAGAGGTAGAAGTAACTGATAAAGTTAATCTCTTCAAATACATTTATTTTTAGATTGTTACATCAGAGACAGTTGTTAGACCTTACTCTACTGATGATGCTAAAATTAAAGATATAGAATCTAGGGTGCTTGAAGTCATCAAAAAATATGACAAGATTAATGCAGAAAAGGTAATGCAAAATGATATATTTAATAGGCCAGCTTAATTTTTACTTTCAGAATCTGACTATAAGGCAATATGCTGGGGCTGTTGATACACTTACCTTCGAACTGGTCGAAAAAAGAGTTTTGTTGGTTCTTAAACTTTACGATAAAATTAACCCCGAAAAGGTAGACCATGTCTGTTCTATGTTCTTGTTTTCATTTTTAACTTTTAACTTTTAACTCTGTATATTTCAAATAGAGTCAATGCTATTTAGCTGCTATCTGAAGGTGATTACTAAATGGAGAATACTGTTTGACTATAGTAACTATTTGTCTTAATTTTTATATCTGTTGGATTAAATTAAGGGTTACCGAATTATTGATATAAGGAGATAAACAGGCAACTAAAAATTTTTCCTGTCTTTTTCAGTTAACACTTGATAGTCATTTTATGAATGATTTAGGTTTAGACAGTTTAGACCAAATAGAAGTTATCATGGCTATGGAAGATGAATTTGGTAAGTTAAACAATGCTTGATTGCCCTGGTTTCAAATTAAACATTGGTATGTTTTAAAAAATGAAAAGATTGGTCATTGATTGAGGATATTTTTACTTAAATTCAAGTCTCTTAGTGCAAGAAAATGTTCTTGATAGCTAAGCAATATCAGCTGAATTATTTTTCTGTTTAATTACAGACCTGAAACAAGAGCCAATGATACAAGTTCCTTCATTAACATACACTAGTTAATCATGTATGTGATATAAAGCGTTGTTTTCAATCTATTTCAGGTTTTGAAATCCCTGACGCCGACTCTGAAAGATTAATGCGACCTAAAGATATCATACAGTATGTTGCAGATAGAGATGATATATTTGAGTAGTTTATTTGGGTTGGTATGATTTCAAACTTATTGCTACAAAGCTCCTGCCTTTTTATTTCCTAAACAAGCTGATAGAGCTAACTTTCAAGACAAATTTATGGTTCCCCTAGCCACAATTCATTGAATAATTATCTCAAAATATGATATGATGATATTTGTGAACTTGTTTGTTAATCGTTGAAATATTTTGTCCAGATCATGTTTACTGTGAAATCATTCGTTTCTTTTCTTTCAGATTTTAGTTTGTTTTATACATTGAAGGAAATGTACAATCAATATTCAAGGTGCCAAGGACATTTTGAAGATTTAATGTGAAAACTTTGTGAATGTTTCATTTAAGTGTACAGTTGAATGAGATAAAGACTTCAGAAAAGGATGTTCTGTGTTATAATTTCACCTTAGCTGAACCTAGTACAAGTTTAGTATTATTAGCTTGAACTAATTCAAATTTGATCAGATATGTCTTGCATCAAAAGTGCTACATAATTCTTATTATTTGTTATTATGGTAATGGTTATAATAAAAATTAAGGTCATTAAATTAAACACTTTCACACACTTTTATTGTTCTGAGGTGCATCAGGTTCCTTACTCAAGATTCTATTAATCCACAAGAGTCCATAGTTAGAATTAACCATATGCAGTATGTAAATAATGAAATGAGTCAAAAGCATGCTTAAATCAGTAACATATTATGTATTATACATGACCAAAATAAATAGATATTTTCATCCCCACATCCTAGGCATTCCGCACAGCATTGTCTGCCTTCATAACGCAAGCGGCAACATACAAATAGTATGTAATTATATTCCATTTAATAATGACGTAAATGTAAAGGATTAAAATGTTAAAATAATGTTTGTCCTTGATGTGGCAAAGGATTGGCTTGGCAGAAGATGAATGAAGATGAGGACAACCCACGGAAACAATTGGAGTAAGGTCTCTGTCATGTCACACCTGTTTATAAGGTAGCAATGACGTGTTGACTGATGTACTGACTTGTGATGGAGAAACAATTAGAATATTGCTAGAAATGCAACTAAGGATTAGCTTGGCAGTAGATCTAAGAATCCTTTATCATTGTCCTGCTCAAAATTGAAGCAGATTATGTTGAGTTAATTCCCTTTAAATTGATTTAGAATGGCTTGATGATATCTTAAGAGACATTGTTATTGCACACCAACAAATCTTGGCTATGCAATATTCCCCGACAGACGATATTTTTCTTACTTTTAACAGGGCTCAACAATATGAAAACAAATTAAAAATTTATTTGACAGGCTATGCTCTGATATAAATCTTCCCTTCATTGCCAAAGAAAAATAGATAAATGTTAATATTTTTAATATTACATTAGAAGCATATTCTATACATACAAAAAGTTGCAATAATACAGTATAATTCATATATACTTGCTGATAAACTTCAAATCTTTCATTATAGTGATGAATTTGTTAGACATTGCAATTCAAATTTCCATTAGATATTCAGATATTAGATTTTACATTTACAAGCTTTTTGTCTGAAATGTTATAAACTATTCTCTAACACTAAACTTTGAGCCTTTTGATCAGTTGATGTGGAAGCCCAAACTGAAGAAAACTGAGGCCCTGTTTGATTGATATGAACTCTGATTTTTAAACATAAAAATGTCAGTGAATAAATTCCAATTCAACAGCCCTACTCTAATCAAATTTGAATCTGAGTTGAAATGAATCAAACAAGGCCTCAGTCCTAACTTATCCCTATAACAAATTGTACAAACCTCTAGATAGTAAATGTGAAATAAGATCATTAAAATTTTATAAGCAATGGAGAAAATTAAGGCGCCTGAAAAAAAAACCAAGATTAAGTTTTGTTTATTGCTGTTGCAAGGGCAGTTTGAAGTCTTAAACATTGTAACCCTTGCATTTGCACATCATTTACAAGTAATTATCTCCCTTTATCCCTTTAAGCTTTCTCAATATTCATTTTGGACAGTTGGGTTGAAATTGCAGTCTGAAGACAACATAATAACGGTTATCTCAAATATCATTTAAAAGGCAATATTTTTTTTAATCAATCTGAATCCCAAACAAATTAAGAATGGCCAAGGGTCAGAAAATGAAAATTACATCCTACTCTTCTGCACCATGTGGACTAATGGAGAAGGGCAAGTGTCTGGGCTATGTTCCTCAAAAAATCTTGCCATCAATTTTGTTGTAAGAATGATATTTCTCAACGTAAAATTCCACAAACCACAAATTCTTATATAAAATTTTTTGAGGAACAGAGTCCAGGTGTTAGACTCTTACTACCTTTTCAATAACAAGAAAGCTTAACATGTGATCAAGTTGATATAGGTCTATTTGTAATATTTCAAAGCTGAATACATAGATAATAAGAAACCTTATAAACACTTATATACAAATAATTTCTTAGAATATAGACAATTTATGTAACATGATATTAGGAAACAAATAGCAAAATAATTATTTCATATAAAATTTGAAGAAAAAAAAAGAAATAAGTAACCATAAGACAAGAAATGACCTTTTTCACTTCTTTTTAAGCATTACAATCAAGAAAATATTTTGTGCACATTCTGGGGCAATAAAATCCATAAATATGAGAAGCCCAATTTATTGTTAGATAGCAGATTATAGTACTTAACCACTACAAGACTTGATTTGTGTCAAATTCTATTCAAAGTACATAAATATTATTGACCTCTCTTGTCTATGTTTTGAATTTCTCCTGAACGTGCACAGATATCTTTGCTTGACTTTACATCTGGGCTTACAAACTGCAGATACCTTTTTCAAAGCCATAACTTAGTGTGTCAACTATGAATCATATCATTGATCACTGCATTCCATTCCATTTTGAAAGGAAAAGGAATAAGGCCAAGTCTCCATCATGTCTAACTTTGAGAGACCTTCATACCCTTCAGAAGATGAAAAAAAGCCCTATGAAGTTTATAATATGGAATTAGAAATGGCTTTTCCTTCAGTTGTTTGATGAATATATCGATTCATATTGATCATATTCCATCAAAGAGAATTGAACTTTCTCTGAAATTTTGCATAACTCCAAACAAGCCATAATTAAATGGTGATAATCTTGATTCTGATTAATAATGAAGTCATTTCTTGTTAACAGCTAATTATAATGAATATTCCCTGTAAATTGCTAATATAATACAAGAAAAATAATATAGCACATTAATATACAAATTCAAACTTTCTATATACTGCCAACAAGTGCAAAACAGAAACCAAAATAAATAGGGAAGCCAAATAAAGCCAACACTAGAATCTAATAAAAACAAAATATACCAAAATTCTCAAGAGGAAAAAGGGGTTAAAAATAAAAAATGAAGATTATGAAAAGAGTTTTTTATGACAACTGATTGATTCCTTGTTCCCTTTCACTTCTTATACTTGTATATATTTTCTGACCATGACCTTACATTATTCATTAAAGATATATAAAAAAAATTTGCAAGGAAAATCTTTGATTCAAAAAATGATTCAGGATATTCAGATTTGTGATAGATTTAAATAAAATTTACATAAAATAAACTATTTTGTTCATACACAGATTATTTGCTTCTTAATTTGCGTTTAGGGAAGTGGTTTAAACTTATAAAATAAAGAATAATATGTAGTAGATTCAAGACATTGAAAATAAATTGATTTTGTCATCAAATAAATTCCCTTTACACAGAAAAACACAAAAATTGAGAGCGACATTTTGAAAATATAACAAATGATAAAAATGTTAACAAAACTTATGTTGAAGTGAAAGTAATTTATCTCTTAATGCTTTCCAATATATTTTTTTTCATAACTTGATTTTTTTAAAATTTTATCTTTTCTTTATAACAAGGTAACTTGTATTGTCTTCCACCATACCAGGGTGGCGTCCTGTATCAAATAATTAACAAATTGAAAGTAATATAAAATAGAAAAAATCTAATTTTATAACTGATTACAATATCTTACAATTCTTCTTCTTTGGTGGTTTTGGTTTCGGACATAAAACTGCCCGAATAGCTTCATCAAAGACAAATTTTAGACCTTTCTGTGTCAGAGCAGAACATTCTAAGTACTTCACTGCACCAATTTCCTTTGCCATGGCCAGGCCTTGTGGGTACGTTATAGGTGCTAATTTCTTTTCTCGTAGTTTCTCAATCGTTTCTTTATCTTCTCTCAGATCAAGTTTGGTGCCGACTAATATTATAGGTGTCTGTGGACAATGATGACTTACTTCAGGAAACCACTGAAATGAAAAATTTTAGTTTGTATCATGGGCTGAATAGACTAGCAGTTCTAGAAAACACGAAAGTGCAAAAAATACTGCTATACATTAAATCTTTTTTTTCACATTGATCTATTATCTATTATCATTCTTCTTTGGAGGAGACCTTCGAGAAATAATGAATAATAGTAATTCTGTAACAAACTAAGTGAAGATCTTTAAATTGCATCTTCCACCAGAATGTGGAACAGACTGATTACAGGGAATAATATGAATGGAATAATGTCCTCTGCACCAGATTGTGAAAATAAAGACTGGCCATGCCATGTAGTGTGCAATGAGGAAATTTTCCCAGCCATGATAAATGACTTGTGAATGATATAACATGCTGACATACTAACCTTAGCTCGGACGTTTTCAAAACTGGCTGGACTGATAAGGGAGAAACAAATAAGGAACACATCCTGAAAAAAATCAAAATATATTAACATCATTCTTGGATAGTATATCATCTAAAATATCTGAACTACTAAAATAATATGTTAACCTTCGGCATCAGACAATAGGTTGCACATTGACTATTTTACCAATGTTTTAGATCCAAACAAGGGACTAAGATAATTATCAGTATGTTTAGGTGAGAATTCCCTTATTGTAAGATCTTTTAAACACTGCACAATAATTATTAAACTGTTGCACAATAATTTTCCTACCTACATACAGCAAGTAAGCTCCTCTAACCTATATTTCTTTTTTAGATGCCCCAAGATCTAATCACTCTCAGACTAACTAGCACAAGAAATTATAACTCATACCGCGTCTAAAAGCATCTCAGCCATTTTGAATTACTGTACATCACTGACCCTGTGAAGAATAAAACTTACTGTTTGTGGATAAGATAACGGTCTTAATCTATCATAATCTTCTTGTCCAGCAGTATCCCACAGTCCTAAATTAATCGGTTTACCATCTACCATAACATTAGCAGAATAATTGTCAAACCTAAAATTATAACATCAAACCTAATATTATAACACAGTTATCAAACCTAAAATTATAAAACAATTATCAAACCTAAAATTATAATACAATTATCAAACCTAAAATTATAACAAAATTATCAAACCTAATATTATAACACAATTATTAAACCTAAAATTATAACACAATTATCAAACCTAATATTATAACACAGTTATCAAACCTAAAATTATAACACAATTATCAAACCTAATATTATAACACAGTTATCAAACCTAATATTATAACATAATTATTAAACCTAAAATTATAACAGAATTATCAAACCTAATATTATAATACAATTATCAAACCTAAAAATATAACACAATTATCAAACCTAAAATTATAACACAATTATTAAACCTAATATTATAACACAATTATCAAACCTAAAATTATAACACAATTATCAAACCTAAAATTATAACACAATTATCAAACCTAAAATTATAACACAATTATTAAACCTAAAATAATAATATTGAAACCATAATGTTATGTATACCGTGTTCAATGGAAATGTTCTGAAACTTCTGACAATTGAAGCTTCTAATATATATGCACCCAATATAGTTTCTAAACATTATTTGAAACTATAAAAAATTTCATGCTTTAATAGAGGGGGTATGGAACTGGGATGGTGCAGGATCATTTTTTCGTACTTTTGGACTGACGTTATTTCTCACTGCATAATGAAACGTCAATTTTCATATTTTGGGAACAATATTATTCTTTCGATACAAGTTAGTTTAGTCAGAATTATTAAATTACAAATATTAAAGAATTTCATTTCTATTTTTGTATCTGCAAGCAAATTATGTATTACAATCAGCAATCAAAAATTAAGCTCCCAATCAGCTGACGGAAAGAATATTTACATATTACTTTGATTAGAAAATCTTAATTCTATAATTTGACTAGCTGAATATAATTATATTACTAAAGAAATAAACGAGTAAAAAAACATGACAGTCAATCATTAACTGTCAAAATATTGGTCTCATAAACTATAGCCCAGAGTCCTTAGATTATTCAACATTTAACCACCACTCTCAACCTACTCTTTATTTAATACTAAAGGTTAACAAAGTTTAATTAGAATCTCTCTAACGAGGTCAATTAATATCAAACTAATTATTAGAGGATTTCATATAATTATTAACATGCCAAAACACTTAGATGTATATGTTTTTAAGAGAGAAAAAAAACTTTATTTAATAAACATATAATTTAAGATTCTCTAGACGCTTTCTACCTGAAGTTCCTTGAACAACTCTCAGCATGGTTCTTTCCAGGTATTACTGCCCTTTTTCAACAGACTAACAACAGTTATTCTAAGGAAAATGCTTTAAAATCTTCAGACTTTCCATACTGCATTATTTATACCCATTTTCGACTTGCTTGAAAGGAATAGTGAGGGAAAGTTTTCAACTGTACATGAAGTTCAACTGCAATATTGCGAAAAGATGACTTATTTGAGAATAATCTTTCAACGGCATATTAGAAGCACAAGATATAGATAAAAAAAACAATTATATAGATATATACTTCTGGTATATTATATTCCTGATGACGGTGTGAAAACCACATTGAAACCATTGAAGTAATAAATATACCAGAAGTATCTATCTATAAAATTGTCTTATTTATTTGAGATCATTATGCATTTCCTTGCATTAATAATAAAGATTTTATGCAGCCTGATTCATGAAATAGGTCAAATGCACAATCTGCACATTGACTGATAGGTAAAATCCTTAGAAAAGTTTGAATCCAGAAATCAAATAAAGGTCACTAGCATAACAATATGAGCCCACTTGACATTACTCCAATTGAAATAGGATAATAAAGAGAGAGTCCCACTTATCCTTAAAATTGGAAAGCTAAAAAAGTGTTTGTGATATTCATTTTTTGTAATCAAAATTTCATCCACAAAAATTCAGACTAGTCAGCAATTTTTTCTTTATAAATTTGTATAAGCTCATCCAAAAGTACCTCATGAATGAAAAGCAAAAGTCAAATTGGTTGCTCCTATCGGACATGACTGGCAAACAAAGTGAAAAGTTTTGATTATAAAAACAGTGAATTATTATGCAAATTACACAAGATTTTAACACAAGATTTAGATGTTAATGACTACCATATTGTATGACTAAGAGGTAATCTTTCTTTAAAGAAATAAGAGTAGGTTTTCAATGATTCACATTCAAATTCATGAGAGAGGAAATATTAACAGTCTTCCCTTATATATTTATTTAATTCAATTGCTAGAGATCTTGCAATGGTTAACAGACTTTTTGAAGTTTCAAATTATCAAAATAGTATCTTGCCTCTACTGTAATTTCTACAGAGATTCAGAATTACTCCAAATCAAAGTCATAGTTATCTAATTTTCCATATCAAATTATATCAACTGTTTGTAGTCAGATGAAATATATTCATAATACTATCGTATTTCAACAGTTAATTCTATAGAGAATCAACATAACGTAACAAAAAAATAAAGTGATATACAATTTTTGATATCAAATGATTCTGCAAAAAATCTTGTAGAAGAAAAAAGAACTGTTTAAAATCAAGATGAATTATATTCAAAATAATATCTTATTTCTACGTTAAATTCCATTTCCAAAATAAGTTGTCCTGGTGAGGATTGTGTATCTGAAACACATGTTGGTTTGGATGAACTCTAGTCAATGATAGGGTATATTTGACTCAGATGTCTATAAAATATTTAACCTATATAAACATGACTTCCTATCTCCAAGTTATGTTGTTAATATTGATAGAGAACATGATATAAATATGTCTCCTACATGTTTCTTTTATCGCTTCTCCCTGGTCAAATCTTTATTTACGTTGTATTTACATATTTACATCGTATTTACATTTCAATTTGATATTTATTTGAACTGAAAGACCCAGTCAAGTTGAATTCTATGTCAAAAGAATTAATGCAACTATCAATTAATTAATTAAAGATTTAAATGACAAACAAAGTTTAAAGCCATTTTAAGTTGTCTTAAAGAGATTGTAAAGAGGTTTTTCTAAATTTATGTGTATCAGGGACACTGTTAGCATCAATTTGCCGCATTCCAATTTTAAATCAGTCGCCTGTGGTTTCTGCAATTCCACAAAAAATAAGTCGACATCACTAATTGCAAAATATGCTTGAATCACATTAGGCCCTTCGCAATTAGTGACTTCATAAAACACTTAGTTTTAGTGTAATTGCAGGAACCACAGACGTCTAAATGAAAATTCAAATGGGGCAAATTGAGTCTATCAGTGTACCTGATACACATAAAAACATTATAAACTTCTTTTAATGACTAAAAATAGTTGTACATAGTTCCAAGCATTAAGGTTTATCTAGTTTCCATTGAAAGCTGGTCACCTTGATCTGGTATTAAGAAGCCCTACATTTATTACTGTCATAACACACTTTATTCTTGAGAAACACATTATCGAATTCCTGTATTTTATATAATAGATGTTTGTTTGATGCTCATCAATTACTTTGCCAAATTGCATAAAACCAGATCCAATGTGTAAATATTTATTCAAAATTTATCTGTGTTTTCATTCAGAATTAATTTTCTCAGAATTTTTTCATCTTCTACAGATAACAAGATTTCTTAAGTTATTAACATGCTACAAAATCCTGTGTATTATTTATAGCATATTGCAAACTAATTACTGTAGTTCTTCCCTATAGCAATATAAAAGGGTAACATGAGTCTTCTGACACTTCAAACTGGTCCACCATGCCTTCTAAAGCTTCTCACCAAAGGAAAAGGGTGGAGCTATTGTCCTACATTACAAATGAGCTCTTCCAATCTTGCATATACAGTTTCGTATTGATACATAGAATGCATGTGTGGAGGAGTTCATTTGAAAGTTGAGGGGTATTTCTCCAATGAATGCAAAGCCACCATTGATGCCAGTTGCCAAAATCAGCTCATGTTCTGCTTTCTGGTGAAAATAGGATTTTATCTTTGAAAAGTAGGAATACAAAACCATTCAGTTGTTCGAAGTTTCTTTCAATGGAGGTTTCAATTATGTTTATTATGACTGATCAGACATGATGCCTTGAATTGTCAGTGGATCTCATCCCATCTTAATAAAGAATAAGTAATAATAAAAATAATACTTACACAGTAGGTATATATTCACCAGGAAAGGCATTGGTTGTATAACTGATTAATAAACATGTTTTACCCACAGCACTGAAATATACAACCAAATATTTTATATTAACAATAGGCATATTGAGTCTGATTTACGTAAAAACTGACCAGTAAGCCGTTGGTAAATGCATTACGTAGTAAATTTAGTGATCATTTTAACAACACAGAGACATACCCCTGCATTAATGAATTTCCCCTCTTAAAAAGCCTCACTGCCTCAAATGTCTCAAAATTTTACAAAATTTTCCTAGTGTATACAGGCCTTACTTGTTTAATATTAAGCAAAGTGCTTTAATTGTAATATTAGTATTTGACCTAAAATGTTTTCAGTGCAAGTCAGTTTTATTTGCTCAATGCCAAACAGTGAGCTTTCTTTGTATTTTTTATAAAATATTACTCTGGTTTCTATTCGATACTAGTACAGTGATTAATAATACACCTCATAACCTTATAATATTTACAATATCAAACCAGAACATATATCTTCTCAATACATATCAAATTCATTGTTTATGTCTGGTTACTGAAAACATTCTGTTCTCAAATCTTCCATCTGAATATATTGAACATTTTATTTACTACAAATATAGCTAACTGACTGAACAGTTGATTCTGTGTTTTGTTGTTTTGAAAACTGCACGTACATTTATTTATTTTCCTGATGATGGTGAGAGAAATGTTGAAAATAATAATAATTCTGGAAGAATTTATCGCTACTAATTGTTTTATTTACAAATACATTGTAAACTCTATAAATCAATGTAGATTCTCTGAAAAGAGACAGAGACAATTCCAGTTGTATTAGATGTTCCAGAAGAGTGAGCATGATCAGCATGTCTTGTTACAATGACATTGTAACCAAATTTTCTTTAGTTTATTTGATTTGATAGTTTTCAAAATTGAGTGCTTATCAAAACTAGAAAAGAAAAGATGAAGAACAGAAGAAGCTGTAATAAGATTAAATAAAAAATACATCTTGTATGTTTTAAATCGATTATAGGGCTATAAAACTTTAAATTATATTGAAAATTTGAAATTGTGTTCTACCAAAACAAGGGAACTGTGTATCTAAAATAAATTGTCCCTAATAATGTAGTAATTTGAATCTGTGTTTAAAAGATTCAAGTCAGTTTAGCAGAATTATGTTGCATGTATTTTTTTATTTTATGTGGCCTACATCATGTTTTTTTTTTTTTTCTAACAAAGGTTAGTCTGACTAGGATTATATATTTAAATTCTATCAGAGAATAAACAGGATGTACATAGATACCATCATCTTCATAATGTCAAGGTATTACGAAGACACTTTTCTTTGATGACTGAGGTTTGTAAATGCAGTGATCTTATTGGTTGAATGTTGGCATATATAGCCAATCAGAGCCCTCAAAACAATGTCTCTAAACCATAATAAACCATTATGTTTGAGGGTTCTAGCTATATAAGCTAGCGTACAATCCAATCAAATCGCTGTATTCTGTGATACGAGAAAATAAAACGTCAAGGTATAGCTGTGTTTATAATAGCTTGAGATTGTGAAGATGAGAAATAGATTGAAAGTATAATAGGAAAAGAAGACAGGATATTGTCACTTCCATCTTTAACCTTACACTTAATCTACCTACAAATTGCCTTGCTAGTCAAACAACAATAGAATATCTGTCTTCTGTCCTGATATTGTCAACATGTCACAATAGGATATGGGAGGGCTACAACAGATATGCATTGAGTACCGGTACTAGATCATAAAAATGTCACGTCATGAAACAAATGACTAATATTTATGCCTGAACTTTTTTGGCCACTGAGGCTTCGATTTTATTTGTCTTTATCCCCTATATGATTTAAATTGTTCTACTACAGGCCTAAAAATCTGAATCCCATTTCTGCCAAGACTCTAGTAAACATGGTAAACACTGCCTGCTCGAGTCTTGTTGTAATTAAATTTTAGTACCAGTACAGCAATCTCCTTGATTCCCAATTTTTTTTAGACCTGTCACATTTGAAAATAAACATACACTTTAGCAAGCAAGACATTGCCCCAGCTTGGACCAATTTCATGCAAACTGAATAAGTTGGACATATTGAAATACTAGTGGGTGTTTGTGTAAATCTCAGGATCTAGAAGACACTATGACATAGATATGTCACACAATATGACATTGATAGGATACACAGGAATTCTGCCTGAATGTTGTATATAATCTTAATATTCAGGTTGTGACTCTATGACATTGGAATAAATAAGCTTACTGTCACTATTTCAGTTATACATGTAATCTAAATAAGTATAAAATATCTTAATATTTGTTATTATATAGATAAAAAAATGAGAATACCAATAACTCCAGCGGGATTGATTGGAAGATTTTTATAACTTCTGATCATGTTAAAAGTCTACAAGTGGTCCATAAATCAATAGTCAAACTGGTACTATTATGAGAATACATGGTCTGATGAATACTATCAACTACTAATATTGGATAATATGGTACTAGAACGTGATGAAAATAGAGCAAGTATTTTAGTTTGGAAATGTTTCTATACAGCGCCTATAACTCTGATTCCAATAATTGAATGAGTTACATATATACAGTATAATGAAGAAAAGTGGATAACTTTCAAGGGCCATAACAGCATTAAATTTCAACTTAAGAGCGGCTTTTTTGATGATTTCATAAACTGAAAAGATTCTCTGTTTAAAGACAAACTTGTCTTTTCAAACAGGAATTTGTTCATCTCAAAATTGTTTCAGAATTAAATTTGGAGAAATTTATCAATCAAATCACTAACCCGGTACAAGCTCAAAATATATCTCCAGACTGTGGACTTAGTTAGCTAGTAGTTAAAGCACTCTAAAAGAGGCAAAAGTATTGAAATGAACTTTAAACAATGGTTCCATAAAACAAGGAGAACCTGTTAGCAATTGACCACAAGCTTAATGAGGAACTCAAAACTGATCTGTCTGCACAGGCACAGTATACAAAGACTGCACTCTTCAACTGCACAAAACATGGAATAAGTTTATAATAAATCACTTGTTATAGGGGTATAATTATTGTAATGGGCCTAATCATAATAACTTATCTACCAGTATATACAACCAACCAACTCTGTACTATTATAATATCATCTACTTTATACTAATCATATAGAAAATAAATAACAGATGAGAGGGAAGGGGGGAATTATTAGAAAATCCATAATTACAATAACACCTTCAAAACCAAAACATGTCAGTTTTAGAAGTTTTAGATTCATTCACGTTCTCTCTTACAAGATATAAGCTTAAAACTCATTATAACTTCAGCAAATTGTTACCAATTGTAAACCAAGTTACAGTAATCTTAAACTTTGAAGTAGTTTTAAAAATTATGTATTCTCAATATCTGTTCAGTTAAAGTTTTTCAATAAAATGCAGAAAGCAAATTTGAATTTCCCACCTCCTTCAGACCTGATAAAACAGCAAGAAAACCCAGTTTAAGGCAGAGCATGCTAGTAACACTATCACAAGTCTTTACGCCACTCCTCAGCTCAATTTCAGTCCCTAAATTTTAAATATCTTCTTCCAACCCACAATATCACTTCCTGTTTCAATATTAATTTTCAACAAAGTATTTTTTTGCAATAAACACCTTCCATTAAGCACTTTATCTATAAATGGAATCATTCCTTGTGTGACTTGATCCTATATTTTAAATGGGTTTATCAAATTTTTCAATCAGTATGCCAGTGAATTGAATTACTTTCTTTTATTAACAAACAAAACATTAAAAGCTTTATCATGATCAATGTTTGTTTAATATTAATAGACAATTACTGTACAGTCATCAAGTGTGTATGAGAATTTATATATTCAATTACCATTACTAATATGTAATGTACATAGCTTTCTTGCACTTTCTATTTATAGTACTAATGACTTCCTGATTTTACCATAAAAAACAACAAGAAAACAAGTAATAAACATCATCCAAACCAGGTCAGAGGAGTTGACAATTAATTTGTCAAGTCATTCAAATGCAACAATAAACCACTTCGAGGTCCTGTGTGACAGTTAGAAATTGCAAAAGAGTAGGTTAATGAGCACTGCTGTCCTTATGGAACACTAGATAAAACCATTTCTATGTCTGTATTTGTCAACTTGACCCCATAAATAAAATGAAATGAAGATGGATTGTGACAACGCCATGCTTTGTGCAAGACAATGACAATGACAATAATTAGCTTATTCTTTTTAAAAATTACACTGTAAAGACATAAGTTGTCAACACATAAGTTATCATGTACCATATAAGTTTTTCCCATCACAACATTTAGACATTAACCGCTTTTCCACTGAGAATTATCAAGTAAAGCTAGCTCTGAATTAACTTAAAGCCAGCTTTATTGCTGAACACTCTATGGTTATATGATGCTAACTGGTTCCCGAGCGACTTTAGCCTCAATCACAAAGTCGCACGTTATTGACAAATCGTGATGTAAAAGACTACTGTCCAATGGGAAACTATTACGCATGAGCAGATAAAAGTGAACAAAATATTTAATCAAAAAATAAGAAAAAATGCAATGTCCCTCCTATATATATGTTGTAACTGGGATATGCAAAATTATTTACGAAATAAAGTCCAAATGTTGGCTTTGTTTCTCTTAAGAAAAGGAAAAACCAGCACACCCCCTATTGACTAACGAGATAAATCTGATTATAGCATTTCCACTGAGTAAAGTGATAGTCGGCTTTAAACTAGCTTTCAGTTGGCCTCCGATTAATTGCCGAATGCTGAAGCCCAAGGTAGCTTTTTCCCCTCAGACAGTTACAATTTCAATCTTAGCTGAACTTGTCATATTGTCCTGATGAGGATCTTATATCCAAAACACATGTCAACAGATTACAGAAAATAAATATTTCTTATCAAATACTATGGACAAAGAGTCAACACTGGAAATAATTAAGGTTGAAATTTCAGGAAATAAATCTTGAAATTTGAATTTGATTATTATTTAGAGGTAGAAGTAACTTAAATTATTAAATTTCCAATACAATTAGTTCTATACAAGTACTGCCCATTATCAAACAAATCAATATCATAGTCTGGCATTAAATAACACAAACTTTAAAGGGAGAAGAATAGTATGTGCCAGATTCATAACAATGTGTTCAGCAAAAGATACACAAGTTTTTGTTTGTTAAAGGGATTGTAAAGAGGTCTTCTAAATTTTTTATGTGTATGACAGACACTGATGGTATCAATTTCTCCATTCAAATATTCAATCAGAATTCTGTGGTTCCTGCAGTTCACTAAAACTAAGTGTTTGATGAGGTCACTAATCGAAAAAATATGCTTTATGACATAGCAACTTTTGCAATTAGTGACGTCATCAAACACTTATTAGTTTCAGTGGAATTGCAGGAACCACAGACATCTGACTGAAAATTGGAATGGTACAAATTGATGCTATCAGTGTCCCCGATACAAAATTTTGAAAGCCTCTTTACAATCCTTCAATCCTTGTTTTATGAATTTTAATACTTTAAAAGTAAATTTTCCAAAAAGCATCTGAATTACATATCTATCTTAACTTTAAACTCATTATTACAATTATGATACATGTATTTCAAATATACCCTTTAAATTAGCTTACATAGCCACTTTAACTGATATACCTATTACAGGCATATCAATATACAGAAAGAAACAGGAAGGGGATTATATTTTTCATATCAATAAACCAATCTTTGTAGACTGATAGCTGGCTACACTTAAAACAAATCACTATTGTTTATTCTTCACATGATCTGTCAAAATAGATAAACAGAAAACCTTAATTAGTTCTTATCATTAACTAACATAAACTTTCAAATTTTTACGGCCGTTTATATTCATCATTCATAACTTCTGTTTACTCTCACACTTTTTCGTTTGATTTATGTCACTGACTCACTAGGCTAATGAGAATAGTGTAATATTACCCTACAATTCTGCTACCTCCTTATGTTTATATTCCAGCAGTAAACTGTATTTAAATGTTGATATCTGATGTTCACTGAAATTTCACTGTGGTAAAACTAAGCATTTTATGACCTCACTACTGCTGAAGTCCTTAGATATAACAGCAGCTTGTTATGAATGACTAGTTTTAGTGGAATTGAAAGAACCAGAGACATCTGACTGAAAATTAGAATGGTGCAAATTGATACTATCAGTGCCCCTGATACAAATAAATTATACAGAAAACTTCTTTACTATCCCTTTAAGTTATATCAGAAATTCAAAAGTGCCATGTTTGGCAATCATTAGTCTGGTTAGACATTAAAGAAAAACAGTCATAAAAGTAAATCACTTTTATTAATTAGAGAATTAACATCATAATTAGTTCAATCAAAGGAAAAAAATAAGCAGAGCCTATTACTGTACTAGACAATATTTGTATTTAATGACTTAATTATATTGATTTTAATTTGATAGTAATATTAGTATAGTTACATTCAGTGTTTCATATTGTTCAGGTTCATTAAGAGGAAGAAGCTCGATAAGTCTAGGTTTAACATTCTAAATATATCTTTTTTTCTATTATGTCAATCAATCTTTGTAATAACGTAGAAAAAAAGGTAATATATATAAGAAATTTAGTTCCTCCTTAACAACAATATCTTATAAACTTGGCAATAACACACTGTATTTCATTACCAACCTACTTCAAATATTGAATTTAATCCATTTCATTTCATTTGTAGTTTGAATTATTAGTTGAATAACATTGTTAGGGTTCATAAATTTTTCAACCGTAAAGGACTTTCTGAATGTATCTTTCTTTATTTCAGAAGTTTTATCTTAAAACATTAAAAGCTGATAATTAATCTAAGCTTACAACAATAAATGGGCAATAGCCTAGTATGATGATCTTTTGTCTTAGGCCAGTGCTTCCATAGGAAAATGTTAAGATCATGTGATAGCTGACCTAGGCCAGTAAAAGAAATTATCTTCCATAACACCTAATACTTGTGACCACTGTGACCTAGGCCAGTGCTTCTAAAAGAAATTATCTTCCATAACAACTAATACTTGTGACCTAGGCCAGTGCTTTTAACAGAAAGTATCTTCCATAAACCTAACACTTGGACTTATGCAGTGCTTCAATTTAAAGTGCACCTTCAATAACACCCTTGTGGTTCTTTGGGAGAATATCTTCCATAACAGCTTATACCAAGTACAATTCAATATAATATGGATCAGGGTTTCCTTCAATTCCTTCCTACAGAAAAGCAGGACAAAAAACTGCATTAATTTAATTTCTCAATTCCTTCCTTATATGTGTATTGAAATTTTAATTATTTGAGACTAATTTAGAAATAGGTCGAAGTATGAACAATGATAATTTCATTGCTTCTATGTTAACATCCTGTTAGTAATAGTTTATAGGTCAAACTACTTTACATATCTACTATCACCCCTCAATCAAATACTGACATTTATACTTCATTTAGTCATGCTTGTATGATTTCAATAAAAACAAACTACATCAATGTCCAGGGAAGAAAATCAACCTTAAGCAAAGAATTAAAATGTGGACTAGCCTAAAATTATTTCTTCAACTTGCCCCACCCTCACAACTGTCTTTAATAGCCTATTTTATCTTATATGGCAATTTAATCCAAGCTTGTTAATGTTTTTAAGCTGATTCAAGCTTATGCAAAAAAAATTTCTAATAAAAAATCTGTGCATACCACCTTTTTACTAAGAATAAATGTAATGCATGAAAGCTTATATTGTCAGGTATGGATATATAAAAATTTTAATTGAAAAGTGTCGGAATTGTCAACAATTGTCAAAGTCAACTCAATGAGAATATTTTTGGTCTATGGGCAAATAGTCAATGAACCAGTCAATTTATCTTTATATAAATAAGCTTACTTTTACATTAATAAAATATTTTCACTGTTAAATTAGTGTCCAATACATTGATGGTAGAGCAATCGTTCAATTTGGGTTTTGAAACAGATACTAATTATAAGGAGCTTTATACAACAAATAGTTTGATCTTCCACTGCCACTGCCTACATTATAGAAATTTCAGTCTAAAAGGCTATTTTTTTTATAAATAATAAAATTTCTCAATGTAAGCTTATATAAGATTGCAGGACATCTTTCTCCTTCAACTATACAATATGAAAACAGCTTAGCTATAGCTACTTTCAATTTAGATCTAGGACACCAATCGACCAAAATTGAATTTCTGTGTCTTAATATGCATCTCATTCATAGGCTTTCATCAACATTCTGCCACATAATTTCTTTCTGCAGTTTTGTATTCTTACTTGGGCTATTTCAATCAACTCGGAATTCATACAGAAAGCTTTAAACACAACTGTTATGAAGATTTAAAATAATGTTAGTTCTTGAGAATTGTTAAAGGAAGGTGTTAACCCATCCCATGCTTTTGTCGTTTTGTCTTGTAGATAACTGCACATTTGAAGGAAAGTATAAGTGATAACTTTTGTATTATCAATAATCAGTAGCCAAACTTATTCTCTGAGCAAATTAAAAAGTTTTCTGAATTTTTTCCATTATTTTTATGAGAATTGAAAAAGCATCTGCAGAATAATACTTAGTACTTTCAGTCTTAGAATGTATTTGCATTGATAAAAATATAACCATGAGAACACATAAACGTCTTCAAAATTTGTTTTTACAGAGGACAATTTTCAGCCCAAATTTTGTCATTCTTTTTAGGTTGAAATGTTTAGGAGAGAAACATGTTTTTTTTTTCAATGTAAACTTACAAAAAAACGCAAAGACTTTCTAAGAGTAACAGTACTATTTGGAGGCTGATATTCCATTTCTCTTTAAAAATATTGAAAAAATTCAAAAAACTTTTTACTTTGCTCAGACAGTAGTTAATTGTTACCCAGTGGAATACATTTGTTCCACTATTGAATAATAAGTATTGAATAGGAAGACCTACTTAGTCTTAGCCTTAAGAGCATGATGCACGATAGATTGACAAATAAAACATTGACCCTTTCCAACTTTGCATATAGTCTGATATATAGCAAATTGAGTTCAATACGGACTTAAATAAGTGTGTTCTGTTTCTGAATCCAGTTATTTTATGTACTGTAGTTGATATTATACATAGAAAAATAAATATTGTTTAAATCCAATAACTTCAATACTAAATGCTTATGTGAATGGAATGTGGAGTGGACTGTGTTGCAATGGTGATATGGAGGGCTAGTAGCCTAAAGAAGTTGTGCCTAAAGATTTAACAAATGTTATAACTGTCAAAAATAGGCATAAGTCAAGTGACAGCGAAAACATTATAAAGAGAACAGTGAAACATAGTCTAACAGGCTCATACCATGACCAGAAAACTCAAATATTCACTCATTCATTCATTTGAACAGGGCAGATCAGAATGTGTTTGGGTTGAGTCACAACACTTCCTTTCCTCTCAAATAAAATTGACTTACCCATCGCCTACAACTACACATTTAATGGCTTGCATTGTGTCGGTTGGCTTTTACCACCAGTTAATAAGTAATTTAGTTAATCCAGTTTACTGATTAGAGAAGTTAAAAATCCGTAACGAAAATGGCTACGTCTACTTATATTGGTAAAGCGGAGCAGGCTAAATTTAGCAATCTAAAAATAGATGATCCAGGATGGTGGCGCTGTATTCTTAAATAGAATGTCAGTCGCTTCTGTAATTAAAAACTATTTAAAGGTACATTACCGTTTAAGATTCCAACTTTGGAGGAATATGTCAATGTAATACATGTAGCTAGAAAGTATAAAAAAGAATTAATAGCAAAAAACTGAATCCGTCTACTCTAGTTTTAGAATAGTGGGTATCATAGTGAAAAGTATGAAAGACATAATGTAGTCTCTGATTAAATGTTCCTGGATAAGGCTTTGATAAAGAATTAGCCTTGCTACAAAGTAACAAGGCCAGATCAAGATATGATTGTATGGAAGCAGTAGACAGGATTTCATTTCCTATGTAGAATTTTTATTATAAATTGTATGCCTTTCCATAGAATGAAATATTAGTATACCGGTCTAGAACTTATTGTGAAAACTATTTTGAGGCAATTTCTTATAATAACACACGGGCTGGAGTAAAATGAAATATCTGTATGGAAAAATATAGCGATTTACTCTCATCAAATATAAAGTAAAAAATTTCATGGAAATGCCCCTTTAAATCATTTTGTTTACATGTTTATGTTTATGACATAAGCGACATTACTATATTCTGATGGCAGGTGTATGTCAACAGGTGCTTGCTCTGGATGCAAAATATAATGCTTATCGTACACCTAATAATCCTCAATTTAGTGAGTTTGTTCATTTTCAAGTATTCAGAAAGCAGGGTAAAATTAACATTGATTTGAGTGAAAATGGTTTCCCTTGGGCGTTGTCTACGTCGTTGAATAACTCGATTTTATGGTCTAGGGGACATAACTCCATTTAATCTAAATGCTACATACAACATTTAATTTCGTATTTTTTTTTTATTTCCTTATCAATTTAATATTATTCCAGGGACATTATATATTCGTAGAAGAAGTCAGTTATTGAGAGAAAATGCCAAGAAAGAGGTAAGTAATATTTATATATCATGAGCAGAATGCACATAAATAAAAACCTAAAAATAGGCCTTGTTACTTGGCTACTAATGTACTATTTTTATTGACTGGTATTATGCAAAGTTTCACAATATCCTGTTTGTCCTTTGAAATACATGCAATTTAATAAATAATATTATTGTGAAGTTGCCTAACTTATTTGATTATTCTATTTACAGTCAGATCCGTCAACCAGGAAAGAATATCTGAGGTTAAGAGCACAGTTACTCAACTCTAGATATGGAAGTCCAGCGTTTTCTGACCAGGGGTAAGGATATAATGACACTTATGACAGATAATTTTTGTTGCAATATATATTGATTTGATTTGATTACTTAAAGGACAGTTGCCAAGAAATTTCAGTACCGCAAAGGACAAGCCATGAAGCAATTGGTAATTATTTGATCAAGGAATGCAATTGTTTTCCTTATACTTATTTGAATATGAAGTTGCATACAGAGTTTTTAACCATTTCCATACTAATGGCTGCTCTTTCTGCCACAAGATAACAACAATATATTTCTATGCTGCCTGTGAAGCAGCCACTATCAAGTTACACATCACATAGGGACATATACTGAAGCTTTCATTGGTTGAAGCTCAGGAGATATGACTGTATGTTAAAAGAGTTATTCTAACGAGCTATAAAACCTGTTATTATTAGAGATCAACAGACAATGTTATACCAGCTTGAAGTTAAGATTATGGGTAATTCTTATTTCAGGAGTATAAAAAGTAGATCCTTTAGTCTAAGAAGTATTAGTAGGAATACAGCAGAGGTAGGATGATATAAAGCAATTGTAAAACAGTTTTCTAAAATTGGGTATGCGTATCTAGGGCACTGATAGCATCGATTTACTCCATTCACATTTTCAAACAGACACCGTCTTGCAACCCTATTAAAACTCAGAGTTTTATCATGCAATTTTTGACAATTTACTTTGTAATCATTAGTTTCTTCTATTCAGTTGTTGATTTGATTTGTTGATTGAAGTCTGGATATGAATATTACAGTTTTCTCCTTTGATCAGTTTGGACCATTTCTATTTTAGAGTTATGATTCTCTGGCACCATTTGGTCCAAGTGATGGAAGATCTCGTCATAGAAGACATACCAGTAGTGGATCATTGAAACACCTGTATGAAGGTCCAATGAAGAGAGTGTATGACAGTATTGAGGTTGTACCTACAAGTGCAGCTGAGGCTAGTAGGTAAGTCACTAGGCACTGAATTCATACAGGACATGCTCACTGGGCCTTGAGATTGATTGGTTGCCTACATCCTCCTACTTTATGTTCCTCTAGGGTCTCCTTAATCGTTCATTGCTCTTAAAACACCTGTGTTCAATAATTAATGTATTGAACTTATGCTAGCTAGGCTTTCAATTTTACCATCAATATTTTTGAACCATTCTTGTGTACTATTTCAGAGCAATGGCAGGAGGTAAAACAGTCTCAGAAAATTATGCTTTTGCCGGCATGCATCATATATTTGATCAACATTCAGCTGCAGGTAAAGTCTCTATTTTGAACACTATTTTATTGAATGGTACTTAAACAGAACAAAGTAAAAAAGAAAGCAAGGAACACCTGATGATATTCTGCAACTGAGCTTCTATGCTCAACACATTTCTCCAATTTTTTTTTATGGATTAAGGGTCTAAGTTACTAGATTTCTTCCAAGGGGTGTTTTTCACCAATTACTTAATGATAGCCTAAATTATAGATATCTTAGACTTTTTTAAATGAAAGTCCTACCCCTGGTTTCTAGTAACCATCCCTAGATTTTCCGTCTGAAAAGGGATAATAGCTAGCATAGAGCCCTATTGCCTCTGCATGTAAATATTTGGATGACAGTGTCCTTAAATAAATAAAGGCTGATGTTTATTATTCACCAAATTAACAGGTAATGTTACATGCAAAAAAAAACCATGCAGATATCATTGTTAATGGTGATTCCACTATAGTTATTTTCAATTGTAGTTATTTCCAGCATGATTTTTTTTTATATTAAGTGACAAGTGTAAAGTTTGCCAATGATGATAAAACAAGAGTAGCCTGTTCATCATTAGATGGTACCCTCTCAATCTGTCAAGTAATCCCTCCACCAGCTACTGTTATCTGTATGTTAAAAGGTCATAAGGCTGGAGTTACAGGTAAGCCTTCTTTTGTCCATCAAAAGGTGAACTTTTAATCAACGATTAGTCAATTACTAATGACCAAATCAAAACTAAGGACTTTTGTCTTCTTAAAATAAACAAAATTCATGATTATTTAATATTATGTTGTCATTAAGTTGTTGAAGCAAAAGTCTGTAGTCTGTGGCAGGTTTTATGAACAAATCAGGATGTTTCACTGTGTTATTGAACTCTTTATGTTATATTACAGATTTTGTATGGTCTCTATCTAATGATGTCCTGTTATCTGGAAGTAAAGATAGTACAGCTAGATTATGGGATGTGGCTGCTGGAACGTGTATGAGAGTTATACAAGATAGCAGTGGTGGAGAAATCAACTGTTGCATATTTCAACCTCTTAATAATAACATGTTTGTGGTATCCTTTTAAAACTGTAAAATGTGTAATTTCATACCCTATTCTAGTTAAGTTCAAGCTTGAGTGATACCAGGCCAACTCTCAAAGCATCATAAAGTATGTTTAGGGGTTTTTTTAGACATAAAAGGCAATTGAGCATAAAATTCATGAATTTGCTTGCTCAAAAAAACTGGACATACCACAATATATTGTTTCAATGAAGGGGAGCATAGTCATAGATTTTACAGTATAACTCTCTTTGCCCAGAGCTATCTAATTGATTGAAGAGTTGGCTCTCATAATTTACCCAAAATTACGCTGGTTAAGGTCAGTAAGCTATATAGAAATGAATTGGCATTATTAATGTTGGATTTTGATCAATGCTTTAGGTCAGTTAGTCAGTTAGTCAGATAGTCAGATAGCCATATTAACATTGTTAACTCTGTTTTGATCTTGAGTGTTTTCCTATATAATATATTAGATTGGTAATAGTAGAAGTATGGTACAGATGATGAATATGTCTACAGGAAAGGGATATAAGGTGGGTTGATTATAACAGCCGACAGATAATTTTGTTTTATTTTATATTTATTAACTCATGGAATAGAAAATTCAGTTTTAACCGCATTGAATAAATAAATGTTGAGATTTAAAAGTGTAAAATTGTCCGAGGACGTCATATTGATCTTACTACAGACTAAAATTCAAATAGTAATTTGTTAGCTGCTTATATATGATCTGTGTTTATATCAACTGTGACAGATGTGACAAGTTTCAGTCCCATACTAGTAAGTAATTATACACTTGTTGTAAGATACTCGACATGTACTATTTTGGAATTATTGGTTTTTGTATTTTATAGGGTGGAAGTAGTAAAATAAGTGGTCAAGTTTTATCCATGGCCTTTGATTCTACTGGTCGTATATTGTGGGCTGGTGATGATCGAGGTTCTATATTCTCATTCTTAGTAGACATCGCTTCTGGTAAATTAACTAAAGCTAGAAGGTATGTTATTTGCATTATATCTATCGTTTCTTATCCTAGTTTTATATACTGTTCCTTTTTGCATGTGAACGATCTGGAGGCAAGTTCTTCTTGGTAGTAAGTATACTATTTAGTAAAAAAGAACACCATGTGATCCACAATGGTTAACTTGAGACATTGAACCTCTGCACATCTACTTTTTGAACTCATTCTGTATATTAGATAATTATGTTTCATTAATACATAAAATGATCTGTTTTGTACAAGACATGTGCTAAACATATTTGGTTATTTGTTACAGAATAGTGGTATGTGATGGACAAGCTATTACCAGTATAACAGCTAGAGCATGGTTAAGTCGAGAAGCAAGAGATCCATTATTATTAGTTAATTGTTGTTTAAATTCACTTTGTTTATTCAAGTAAGTGTAATAAATAATCACCTGTGAATATACAAAGTATCAAAAGTAAAATCAAATTTTAATGTTATCACTTTGTATGATTTGGTTCAGCGTGAACTTATTGCTCACAGAATGAATTCAACCCTTTTTTTCCCCAACTTATTACTATTTCGCCAACTACATTCTAACAAAAACACAATATTAGGGTTTTTATAAAGTAGACCTACCATATTTCAATTGTTGATTATTTGTTGTTATAGTATTGTTGTATGATTTGGTTCAGCGTGAACTTATTGATCACAGACTGAATTCAACCCCCTTTTTTTTCAACTAATCAATTAGGCCTACCATATTTCAATTGTTTTATTTTATATAGGATTGTTGGAGATGACGGTGCATTACAACTAAAAAAGACTTTCCCTATAAAACAGAAATCATCTCATATTAAAAGTATATTTTGTCCATTGATGTCATTTAGAATGGGAGCCTGTGTCAGTAAGTATAACCATTCTCGTGAATTAAGTTGCCTTAATACAAATACCAGAGCCCTGGATGGCCATCTTGAATGCTCAAAGAAACATCTTAAGACTAGTGAGCTCATATAGAATGATATTAGACACAAGATTGAATATGTAGTGAAGCAATAAATGTAGAAAAGAAGCATCAAACACAAGTAAAACCATAAATGATACATATCATATATTTGGATGTACGGTGCACAGTTTTTTCACCATTTAAAGAAGGGTTGTGCATCATATGTGCACACTATTTTCACAATTATACAGTTTATTTATTGCTTTATTTCAGTATCAGGAAGTGAAGATATGTGTGTTTATTTTTTCGATGTAACAAAAGACAGTAAAACCTGTGTCAATAAATTATTAGGACATTCAGCACCTGTATTAGATGTCTGTTTTAATTGTGATGAAAGTTTATTAGCTTCCTGTGATGAACAAGGAATGGTTATAATTTGGAAGCGAGAGGGAAAACAAGCACAGTTATAATCATCTGAAACCACTTGTTGATTTGCAAGATAATCTCATAACTTACTAAAATATGATTTTTGGATAAAAACATCAAGCAAGTCACAAGCTATTTTCAACTATGGTTCTTTGTCCCAGATTTCAACTGGGAGTGGATGCCACTGATGTCAATCTTCAACAAAGCTCAGAGGCAGACTAATCTGATTTACTTACCTCGACGTGTACATTGCTCCAGCCAATTCTTGGTTTTCTAGTTTTTGACAATTTTCACGATGTTAAAAGCATTACCAAATATTCTACAATGTCCCTGTGCCCCACAAGGTACCACAAAACAGCTGAGCACTAGGATTTTCTCTTCTTCGTACAAGTCTGTAAGTTAAGCATATCCCTAGACTGCTTTATGTAATCTTTATCTTGTTATGTGATAACTTTTCAATTTATATATATATATACAATTTGTTACATACTACATTCCTAATAGAAACAATGAGGATGTGTTTCACTGTGATTTCATCCTCATCTATAATTTTATATCTAATATAAAAACTGAATAATTGTAATATAATTTGTTGTGATTTAATTTTATTGTTATCATTTATGTGTGAATATATGTTTTAAATAACACATTTTTTGTGAAATCCCATTTTCATGGATACAAATACATTTACAATTATATTTGATCATGGTTACTATACAGTGTGTTTTGTTGTTTCTATATACAAGAATAATACACAAGAAATTTTTGTTAACATTTACCATTACGGCCTAGTATTGCAGTACCAAAACCTGATAAACAATACAGGCTGGATGTCGACTATAGTCTCTATGGCATTAAGAATTCTATATCACATATATTATCAGAGTACATGTACATCCTCTCTGTTAATACATGGAAGCCAATTGCCATGATTTTCTGTGTGTCTGATATCAGTAGTGGATATTGGCAGTTGATTACTAACACATATACAGCATACTTAACTCATTAAAGTTTTCGGATTTGAGAAATTGAGAGTAAAAGCAGACTTTATTACGGGCTGAACGTAATATATCCGAAGGGGCAATGGGGTAAAGTAATGAAATTGGTCGATTGTCAACATTTTTTCTTGGGAGATGGGGGGAGGAGGGCATTGCTCCCTGAAGCTGCGGGCCTGACTGTGACATTCTGTTACAGCACCATGAGGATTTAATGGTCTATGCAATAGAACGTCATAGGCCTAATCTGTTTCGTTTTTTGGATTGACAAAAATATAAGTGGATAGGAACGCAAATAGAAGCTACAAGTTACCCCCATATATTCATCTCTTCTTTTTAATACTTTCAACGTATATCGAACACGAAACTTATCAATTATAAAATATATTTCCTCTTTTCACCTTTACAAGGTCATTAAAACTCATATGAGTCACGTGTTTAAACCACTATGATAAAATAAATGTGGACAAAAAACGAGGAAACTCGTGTAGTGACTTGAAGAGGATTATCTAGTTGAAAGTTGAATAACATGTTATTCATATCTATATTTGAAAGTGAAATAACGTATGAAATTCATATCTATATTTGAACAATGGAGAAATTAACAGTGGATGTAGTGGTGATAGGCGCTGGACTTTCTGGATTAGTTTCAGCTTACCATCTTCTAAAGACAGATCACAGATTGAAAGTGCTAGTGTTGGAGGCTAAAGGTACGTAAGGTGATCGATGATTCTTTTTGATTGCAGAATATAACAACCCAATCAAAAATTATAATTCCATTCGAAACATCATCTGCAACATCAGCATCAATATCAATTACTTCATATGCTTATTCTGTTGGAATATTAGCTGCTGTAATGTAGTATTGCTGCTAACTGTATATCGTTACATTTATAATATATCATTTCAAACAAAAAACATCATTACACATTTTTCTTAACTTTTCACTTCAATTTTCTATGATTAAGTTTATTTGGTTTATACTTGCAATGAAAATAAGATTTCTTCAAAATAATGGTTTAATGACGTTTTGCCAGACTAAAGCAACCTTTTGCTCTCATATCGACAGAATCTAGCAAATCAGGTGACGACCAGATCCTCAATTTACTAGGAGACTGATGGAGTTATTAACAGTAGCTTGAAAATCCATAAGTGTTAAGACCCACCGACCAGCCCCTCCCTCTGTTATATATATACATAAAGGTAATAATAGGCTTACAAGTCTTTAAACAGGACTGCAATGTAAAAATCGACTCTTAACTTTAATATTAATCGTGTAGATCGACTGATAAGTAAAATAAGGTGAATAAGCCTATCAAGTTGATTGTTTATAACCTGCTGAAATACACGTACACTGTCATAGATTACATCATCTGTTTCATCATCTCTAGACGATTAAAAACTCGTGACATAGGTGTAATATAGGCTTATTATGAAATTAATAAATCAAAATTGTAACATGAATACAAAGTGACGGACGTTTTATGGAGAAGGGACCCGACTCACCCCCTCCCCCTCCTTTCTTATAATTCAGTTTTAAATGCCTTCCCCCTTCCCCCTCCGTAAAATAATTCATAGAGACACCACTGTGACACACTTGTTTCATTGATGTGATATGCAATTGACTAGGCTTCAAGAAGATCGATTCAGATTCTTTTTAAGAGGTTATCAAAGATTTATATCGCAAGCTGTTGAAAAAGTAAGGTTGCCCGAATTCTTAATTCGCTTAATAAACATACTTCTCAGATAGAATTGGTGGAAGAACACAAACTGTACAGTTAAAGTCAGCCGATGGATCGATCGATTTTTGGGATGTTGGTGGAGAATGGGTGGGAAGGTAGGCTGTTAACCTTATGATCTTCTAAATTTAGAAATCGCAAATTCAGAGAACATGCATGAGTTGGTAGAGCAATGATGATGGTCAAACTATTCGTGATCAAGACTTCAGCTATAGATGATATTGCGAAAAAGTTACACGAGCCGTCTTGCAGTTAGAAGCAAACGGCGATTAGACATACAATAACTTCCAGAAACATCAAATCTTGAGAATTATTTCAGACCACAGATGTTTCTGCAAGATCTCTTAAAGACATTCAGACTGGACACCTTCATACCAACAGCGACCAATACTTACGTTCCAGTACCCACTGAACCACCATTATCCTGGAAAACTCGGGTTGATCTCAAAATGCTTTGTCTGAAGGTAAATTTTGTCAAATTGTCCAGCAGTTTGAATCTGTAGGGCTGTTTCGGAAATGAGTAGTTTGCTTGCAAATTTTTTGCTAAATTTGCGGAATCTTGGCGACATCGAAAGGTCACAAAAGATCAAAAGCGGAACGTTGTTGCTTCAGACGAGGATGAATATCCCCAGCCCACACTCCTTGGTCTTTACCAGTTGTTACTGATTTGCCACATCCTTTCATGAAAACTACATGTGCAAACTAGTGATGAATGATATAAGTTGAGCCAAGATGTATTCCTCGTTTCTTCCTGCGGTTATGATGAAATGTGGTATTCCTCTGATTATCTGTTTCCATAATAAAATCAATGGTTTATCTTCTTGTTATATTATAGTTGCGCAGATTAAAGAGTATTATTGATAGTATTGAGAGTTTGGTAGATTCTATACGAGCTATACAATGGGACGCTATCACCCTCGAGAACTATGTTAAAGAGAATCTCTGGACGGAAGGTGAGCATAATAGCAGGGCAGTCCAGTCTTAATTTCTTCAAGATCAATCTTATAAATGGACAGATCTACGGAGTTCCTCAAGTTACTCTCAAGATTTTACTACAGTTGCTAGTCATGCCGCATTATCTGCAGAAATTTTACGAAAAGGCGTATTTAAGCAGTTGAAGAAGCAGAAGCTGTTGCTCGACCTGTTACCCGTATCACTCTAATAGATTTTGTCTAAAGCTTAAACTGAATAACAGGAGCTGCGTATAATTGGATTAACAGGCAGCTACGATGTTAACCTAGACAAACTTAATTGTATTATGAAACATCATCTTATCTAAAGTCTTTAAATGGCATTTAGCAATTGTGAGTACGATATATAGACACAGCTTTATGGAACAAAAAATGGAACACATGTACCTGAGGACGACGGGGAAAACACGTCTAAACGTTGCATAAAACTTTAACCAGTGATTGTTGTTCCTTAAAGCTGTGTCTATATATGATCTAATCTAATCCAACCATCTGTTTCCCATCCACCAACAGGTGCAATGGCTGTAGTCGACACTGCATGTAGATGTATGTTTGGTTTATCGCCCAGTGAGATGAGTTTGTTATATTTTTTGATGTACATACAAGATGCTGGAGGGTTAGAAGTCTTTATACAACCTAACATGTATTCTGGTAAAGATTGTAGGGTTAAGGTAGGTTAAAGGTTCACCATTATCATGTATGAGAAAACTGGTTGTCCCAATCATTATGCTGTATGCAATTCAAAAATTCACCTTGAATAAATAAACTTCCCTGCAGTTGTACGTGTATACAGGTTATTCAGTTCACAGCACATGGTAAACCAAGGATTTGCTGTCCTTGTTTCATCTGAACTTCTCAGTGCCCATGTGGTAGCAGCGGTCAAAATTTAATTTATTTGTTCCAGGGTGGTATTCAGCAGTTAGCATCTAATATAGTGTATAAAATCGGTAGGAAAAATGTACTGTTACGTCAACCAGTGACGCATATTGTACAGGTAAGATGTGCTGGAAATGTTATTGCTCAGAGTTTCTATAAATCATTTGGTGTCAGGTAAGGACTTAAGGGATGTCTCACTGCTAATGGTCAATACTGCTCGCCCTATAATGGAGGCATAATTGTGTAAACTCTATCATTAAATTAAAGCGAATCGGTATGCTTTGCGAAAAATCGTCCGAGTTTCTATTTGTAGAATCCTGAGCGAGTGGTAGTGGTAACATCTAATAGAATGCAAGTTTTATGTCAAAGGGTAATCTTAGCCGTTCCTCCTCATCATATTGGTAGGTACAATATAAAAGTCCGACAAACATTTTATAAATGCTGACCAAAAATGATTATAATTATATTCAACTTCCTTTCCTATAAAAGCATATATTCGAACTTAAATCAACTTGGCTTGATTTGATTATGACAAAGAGACATATTAAAAGAGAGGAAATATCTGTCACCAATGCTCTCTTGGAATATACAGTTCACGCAGAACCATTACTAGATAGGGATGCCTGGAATGATGAAGCCTAAGAGATTATCATCCTCTGTTTCAGCTTCCATATCTTTCACTCCATCTCTACCACCGAACCAATTATCGTTGTTAAAAAGTGTACCTCTAGCTTTCTTAGTCAAATTTGCAGTTACATATGAAGAGGTAAAGCATTTATCTTCTGTTACTTGCTAACCCTCTGTTATTCAAGAACAGAAACTGCCGAAAATATGAAGAAGCGATTTGTGTTTCTTATTATACCTTCTTGGAACAAATCCTTAGAATGTGACTATTTTTTATAAACCAAATGTATTTCTTACCAGAGTATGAGTGTTTCTTTGCTGGGGTTTTGATAACACCCAATACATGTCAAAGTTTCAAACTAATGGGTAAACCACTGCAATTCCAAGAGATTCAAAGTAGGCCTTTTACTGAATAGTTCCGTTATTGTAGGCATTCTGGAGAAACGATACTGGTTCTAATCAGTTCGGATTTCAACGCGTTTTAGAAGATCCCGGTGCTGGATCAGTTGGTATAGTTTACGATGCAACTTCATCTGGTGGTAATCCTGCTCTAGCTGGCTTTTTATCATCCGTTTCTGATACAGATAGTGATGTAAGTTTGTAATGAATTCAAGTTTTAAGCTGATCAAGTCAGAATTATTTCATATGAATATTTTTTTCACAGTAGCCGATTGATTACCTCTCTACTTAGAATATCCTGTCCCTTTGTGCATTAACAATTTTGTATAAGTTTGATGAAAAACTTGAAAAGTCGTTGCACTATAGTACCATACCCGTAAAAATCAAAAAGTATAATGCAAATAGACAACCGCAATTTTTGATGAATTTAATTGCTTTAGACATTTGTTCGGACAGGAAATTGTTCTATGTCCAGGATGAAGCTCATAAGAAGAAGATATTATATTTATTAGAAGCCCTGTTGGGTGATTCTGTTAGAGATTTTGTTGATATTACACTAAAAGACTGGAGTAAGGAACCATATAATGGTGGATGTTTTCTCAAATCATTGATACCTGGTACCACAAGATATCTTAATCAAGATCTCAGAACAGCTTTTGATAGGTAAATAAACCATCTACTTAGGAATTTGAATAGGTGCGCATTATATTCGCAAATATACGGTATTGCAATTTTCAATTGAGAATTACATTTGATCTTCTATACTTGACTTCCAGATGACTCCCATACTCAGTGCATCCTCGCATAACGGGTTGAAGGTGCTGTTCAAAGATCAGGATGGATTTACTCAATTCAGAACCTCTGGTATTTCAACGGTGGCATTACCCCGTAGTTATATTCCAGAGAAAGGTTAATAATGGACCAGCTTATTGATTTCTGTTTGTTACTTTTGTAGGGTTCATTTTGCCGGAACTGAAACAGCAACGGTATGGTGTGGGTTTATGAATGGAGCTGTACAGTCTGGTTTCAGAGCTGCATCAGAGGTAGGCCAGAATATTAATTGCGTTTTTGTGGAGAAATATTTGATTGGTTTAGAAGGGTATGATAACATTAAAGATGAAATTTGTTTGTGCACATTTTCTCTGCCTTAAATAATGTTCACTTACATTAGCATGAGAAGCTATGTCAGAAATTTTGATATACTCTTAGCAATGCTCTTTTTACCTTTCAGATATTGAAACACTTGTGTCCGGAAGAAACTACAACAACAAATAACAATAGTGGTGGTCTGAATCTGGCTCTTAAATCTATGTCCTTAGCAATATTTGGTGCAGGGCTGCTGTCTGTAGCCTTCATGTTGATGAAATCAAATGCAGCCAATAAATCTAGTCCTATTCTCAAATTATTGGTTGAAAAATAGTATTTTTTGTTTGTTGTGTGATAGTGATATTATATGATTGTGAACTTAATTTAAAATCAAAAAATGTTTTCGTTACAGATTTATTTTATTTCTGTCTTGGGAAGATTCCAGAAAAGTCTCATAACTATATATAGCCCCAATTTCCTACAACATGATATTTGGATGAGATATCAGAATTGTGGAGTGCCTGATTTGTCAGACTAAATTATATGATGTACGAATATCTTTCATAAAGGAAGTCTCAAATTGAGCCATTCATGACCCTCAATCACCAATCAATCACGCTGATCTTCGTAACAAGGTACAGATTTATGATAAAACAATGTACAATTGTGCTGGAGGTAGAGAATTGATGAGCGAGATTTAAATACATTTTTAATAAACTCAAATACACAAGAGTAAAGGGATATATATAAATATGTTTTGGGTTTGTAGTTTACAGATATAGTTGTCCAAATATTTGATCTACCAGAAGTCAGTGATCAATTACAGCTATCTGATTTAGCTGTTACAGAAACTAGACTATATCATATGATAGACATTTTGAGGAAAGGTAACATAAATTATTGGAATAAAACAAATACTAAGTGATAAAGTCATTGTAGACAAACCACATTTCAGATTTTCATTTTGAAAAATTAATACTAGCATCTTTCATCAAATCAAACACATTACACTATTCAATTTTTATAAGTGATAATAGTCACTAAAATTTGTGCACTATCAGCTGTAGTTGATTAAAATTAGATTCTATTAGCCGATATAACAAATAATTAGAAGACAACATCCCTTCCATTCTTGCAATAACATTTTAACAATGACAAAGAATTCTACAATTGCACAATAAAGCTTATTCATCATATTTGAGAATAACATATTCTCTTATAGTTTATGTCTGCACCATTTTGATTCCTTTCTGGAATTCCAATGTCTGTTCTTCCAGAAAAAATTCTTACAGATTTCCTTTCATTTTGACCAACATTGAATGATACTCAATGTCCAACCTAAACTTGATATATTTGATAGAGGCTTGTGATCCTCAAATATTTGAGCTGTACTGGCAAATAGAGCCAATCAACAGCCCTGGCCGGATATATGTACCTATATACCTTGTATATTACACCAGGTATAGTCAGATAATTTACATTGCATAAGTTAGTAAATCATGGCAGTGTACAATGTTTGGTTTGACTAATTTACTTAATTTACAACAAGAATGATTTTGGCAATGATAACAAAATAACAATACAACTTAACAATTTTTTAAGTAGTCTAACCACTATCTTAAGTAGTTTTAAACGCAGTCACATGTTAATTAATGTCACAGCATAATTTTATGTAATACCATTCCTGGGTTTTATTTACACATTTTTAACCAATATAAAGAATTCATATCAATAATTCTTATTCAACTAATCATATCTTCCAAGCATTGAGATTATATTCAATGCTGTTATAATAAATTCATTGATAAATAAAGAAGCACACTGTTTAAAAGGTTTTCAGGGCAATAAATTAATAATCAATTTCTGGTCCATACAAAATGACAATCGCATCAAAATTCAACAAAATAAACAAAAATATAACAATGAAAATAATGCTATACAATTCTCACAGCCTTGTAATACAATTTATACATACAGACAGGTTCATTAAAAGCATTGTAAAGAGGTCTTCTATTATTCTTTTTTGTGTATCAGGGACACTGATAGTATCTGTGGTTCCTGCAATTCCACTAAAACTAAGTGATTGATGATGTTACTAATCACAAAATATGCTTTATCACATAACGCCCTTCACAGTTAGCTACGTCATCAATCCCTTAGTTTTAGTGGAATTGCAGGAATCAAAGAAGTCTGACTGAATATCGGAATGAGGCAAATTGGTGCTATCAGTGTTCTAAATGCACATAAAAAAATGTAGAAAATCTAATTACAATCCCTTTAAGGGCTGGACGTTACACCACAGTGCCTCTATACATGTGTCTTCTATAATACCCAATATAGATATAGGAATTCAAACCATTAGTATATTAGAGAAAAGATATAAAAGAAATCAGGAAAAATCAAAACCGTATCACGAACAGTTTGATACCCTTGTAGGCAATCTTAAGGAATAACCTTTTAAGAATTAGTCAACACAATATAGGCCTGTAGGCTTGCAGTTACATTTATGTCCAAATAAATCCAGTCATGTTTATGTTGTCCAACATCCTCAAAAGTATATAAATACCGTTGTCTGACAAGTGTATCTCAAATTTTACCCATCTTCATTCACATGAAAGTCCAATTTCATTTCCTCAAAATCAACATATTTTTTCCAGGTTTAATAGCGGTAAATATTGTGAGATTCACGATGCAATGTAGCCCAGCCCTATGTTCAATGGAATGTTACTGAGTAGAAATTTGTAATATTTCAATAGGCACTGATCGGTCATAATAGAATAAAGATAATTTAGGTGGTTCAACAATCGTATAAACTAACCCTTCTGAACCTGAAATAGTAAAAACAATATTTATTTGTAAGTTCAAGCTGCAACATATTCATGTCCTTCATGATCCAAAAGCATTAACAGACCACATTAAATACAGGAACACATGGTATACATGGTACTATAATATTAGTTGTTATATTCTTGTTAGACAGTCACTACATTTCATATGTTTAATGGTTTCAAAAGTGCTCTTGTATTTAATAACTAATAGTCCAACACACATCCAACAGAACTGTAATTTTGAATAAATAATGTAATATTACCTAATAAGATAAGAAAGCTATCCCTGGTATCCTCATTTCTAACTGTAGAAGCTAAATACACTATAGGTATCTGCCCTGTATCTGGGTGAGGTTTTAACAACATTTGTAAAACAGCTACTAATGATGGATTAATAGTTGAATCATATATCACATCTATAATATATATATTATAACATCATCTTAGATAATATCTCATATTATACATAAATCATGGAACAAATAATGTTTACAGTAGGCCTTGTAATATGTATTTAACATATGCATGCCTATAGCAGAAGAGCAAAAAATCTATTGACATTTTTGATTTTCTTTCATGGGATTCCTCTAATCATCACATGGACATTCACCAACAAATGAAAAACATGGCAGGTAACAGAAATGACACAAATGTTAAGGGTAGTCAATAAAAAAAAGGCAGTAACTCAAAAATTAAATTTCTAAAATAACAAGGCCATTGTTTATTTAAGTCATCTACTTGACATTCCTTAACCTTATTTATCCTGAGCATATATGTGGAAGTGTTTTCAAGATGGGATAACCAACTTAAATCTTAAATGTTTAAGATAGATTAAATATAGTCATTTAAAGAATCATCTTACCAGCAGCTAATATAACATCAGGTTTTAACTTTAACATCAAATCATTATCCACATTTTCCCAATCTAACTTGGCAATCCTCACTTTATCGTCTTTTTTATAAGTCCCATGCAACCCATTTTTATCAAGAATCCAATATTTATTGTTTAACTCCAAATCATTAGGATCTGACTGTATCTCATCTTCATCATTTTGATCAGGTAAAGTTTGAGACTGAGTGGGTGACATAATCATAGATTCCTCGTTACCTACAAGTTCTGCATACGATTCGGCATTGATGCTTAACTGTCGTCTGATTTTACGGATGATTTTTTTGTCTCTGTCTGACCCTTCTTGAAATCTAGGTATCTGTTGAGTTAAATTGGCCTCTATGTTTTTGGCAAGTAAGTACAATACTTGAGGGTGACAGTCACTAAATGTATACGAGTTCACATGACATTTGATACATGTTACTATTCCGGTCAGTCCTAATCCACTGCCTAGTTCTAATATATTCCTGTAATGAATAGAAATAATAAAGAGATTATCATTGTGTACGCAAGTAAGATATCTTTACTATACAACGCAATTGTTAAAACATATTTTTCTTCCCTTGGTGGTTAATATTGTTTAACAAAAGGGTGGATGGTCTATCATATTTTATATGCATGTAAAATAATGCTAATTTCAAAGAAATCAGGAAAATAAACAAGATAGATATTGTAAATTTAAAATTTCCCCTCTTTTAACTTAAAAGTTTTTAACTATGGAATTCAATGAGATCGTCTTTCAAAATAAATAATGATTTACCTGTTTTCAAACCGTTCTTTGTTTTCTAAAACAAATTCTGTGAGATGTTGAGCTGCCTAAAATAAAATAATCAGAATTTTTCAAAGGACTGGCTCAAACTTCTTACAAGATCTTACTATCATCTTTATTTTCAATCAAATTTCAGCACTTTTTATTAAAAGAATTTTGAGAAACAGAACTCTATTTACTTGAGCTCATTTCCGGCTGCCCACGTCTTTCAGATGAATCCTCTTCAGGACAACTTTACTGGAAATGGGGTTTAATTTTCAAAATTAGACAAATGAGTAAGTAAGCAACTAAAGGTACATAACTAGAAAGTAATCTGGATAAGTGCCTTATAATTATTTGTTTAAAAATTGAACCTACCTGCCATGTGCTAAGACCTGTAGTACCCTGACAAACTAAATTAACAGATTCTTGTAAAGACACCTCTCCACCATCAGGCTGTATAAATAAATAATTTAAGTTATTTCAACAATAAGACTGAATTCAGACTGAAAGCCATCTGATTAACAAATCAAGCCATTGGTGACAGACTAGTTTTTTCAATTAGTCTGTCCATTTAATACACGTTATTGTGTATTTATTAAACAGGTTGCCCATCGAGGTATTGTGTCTTTTTTTTTTGTCCCCATGGGCTGAATGTTAGACAGGACCATGTGTATTGGGCCTAATTCTGACCCATGTAAAATAAAGAGTTTATCATTATTATTATTATTACTAATATCCAATATACAGTGAATTCTGCCATCAGTAATACCTTAATTCATGACAGAGAATGAGTTTATCAAAAATTCTCATGTCTTACACATTAACTTTTTTAACAAAAGTTATCTGTAGATGCACTAAAATAAATAAATTACCAGAGAGTAAGTTTTATAACATAAAGTGTCATCTTCTTCTTCTGATTGTTGTAGTAAATCAGTATAGACTTCATATATCTCATCACATATATCAGCTTGATATTCTTCTAGCTAAAATACATACTGGTACATGTTAAAATAATTCTAAAATAGGACCCAATGAATGCATTAGAGATTGAGGTTTGTTGTTGCACCCTGTTAAATCTTCAATGAAGCAGACAATTTTTTTAAAAAAGAAATTTTTTGCACAGCCAGATGCTGTCTTTATTCTCATTTTGGGTCAGCTTTATGAAAAATATTAATGGGAACTTTGCATGCTAGACCTTTATATCTGGTACTCTTGACAACTACTGTTTATCATTTAATTCCTGCTCAGATGGGAACAAAATATCCTTGCTAAAATTTAGGTTTGTCTACCTTATGAATCAGTGTTTTCATAAAATATCTCCTATAACTTAATGATGGTGGATAGATCAAACAAATTGGATGTTGAACTGTAGCTCGCAAGACATTTCGTTGAATTTCTTGTGATGTAACCAAAGCAGACGCCTGTTCTTCCTGAAAAAAGATATAAATAGCCTACAAGAACTTGACAGAGTTATAGCAGTAGCAACTACCTTCTTTTACAAAAACTTCAAATGCCTTTTCTACTTCTATTTCTCTATAACTAGACCTACCAAAATCTTATAATGCTCCTGCAACGATTGCGTGGGTTTCCTAGCACTTGGGCTATGCGACTTACAGACTTCAGTTAATGAATAAGGGAGAAAAGCCTAAATCTGGTGCGGAGGATACTGTTATTCATTAAAATCATATTTTTGATCATTAAAACAGCAACAGTTACTCTTGGGATGTGTTTCCATATAACTATTTTGGGGATGCACCTGGTCTTATTAGACAGGTTCTACTGTAGGTTGATAATAACATAAACAAAGGAATCTCATATGAAGTTTCCTTCAACTTTAACCACATGATTTGTTTATTTAAAACTTACTTCCCATTTGATTTTTCTTACAGGAACCATTTCAAGGAACTGTGCAGAAAGATTCCGCAAAAGTTCCTCTGGATGAAAAGAATTTGATGCGGACACATCTTTTTTCATGGACGCAGCCATTTTTGTTAATATTATGTGTTGAGTTCTTTCATTGGTTGAGGTATTTTTTCAACCAATAAAATCCTTTCATTCATTCTAATTTGTCTCAACTTCCGGTTTATGGTTAAGTTTGCCTTGCGTTGTTAAAAGAATTGATCAGAAGCAACACAAATTCAACGTTTTATCTACATCGTATTACGAAACTGTAGTACTGCCTTCATCATGTGAGTATGCTATATGTCTGTTGAGGTAATTAATGGCATATAATTCAATACTTCTTTATTAATTTCGTGCCGACATTGGCCATCTTCATTCCTCACTTTTCACTTTTCCAATCAAATGATCAAATGACCAGTGCCTTAGTGGCAGCGACTGACAGTGAGGAAGACCCTCTATAATTTAGGACAAAGATGGAATAGGTGTTATGATTATTGTGCTCCAATGTCACTGAATCATGCTCCTAAGGCTCAGCAGTCCACTCTCAGGAATGGAGTTGTGGCCTTGAAATGGGATGGAGTAATATTCTTATTACTTTACAGTACCGGTATATCTAAGAATTTATTTAAGGGTAGATCATCATGTGCTTTGTAGTATACACTTACAGTGTGTACAATGTAAAATATTTTATGGGTATTAAACAATATTTCTATAGGATCTATTCTTTTAGTATGCTTATTAAACAACATTAGATTATATGGTGGAGAGTTAATGATTATTTGATAATCATAATAACAATAAATGATTCATGTTTATTAATGCTGAATGCTCATAGTTGTCTATATAGCCTACGATCAATCATATTCTATTTTGATAACAGAATTGATTTTCATGTAAAAAAAACACCAAACCCTAAGTACTAAAGAACCAAAGGCACAGGTCAATCAAAAGAGCCATATTCTACATTGAACAAACATTTTAGGATACCAGTAAAGAAATCTAGATCAGCACCAGAATCGTCTCAATTAGAAGAGTACAGAATCAGGTTTACTGTGAAACATTCAGACAACTTTCTTGTTCTGTGTTATTAGATTTGCCTTATCCATTTTGTTACATTTTTTTCTCTCAATAATTTAAATTGTTTGAATGTTATATTGTTGATAATTTAGTTTCGTTTTTTTGTTATTTATTCCAATTTAAAATGTTTATCTTGATCTTTATGAAATTGTGTGATATTATAGAAGGATGTGGCCCTCTTCAGAGGTTTGACAGAGGTCACCCTTTTCATATGAAGAGAAAGAGCTCACAGAAATTCAACCATCTGTCTTTGCGGAACCACCTTATAGTGAAGACATTTTCATGGCGAAAAGTCATTCAAGCTGATATAAGGTCAATTTGAACCTCATCATCTGGTTATTATTTTCATCTTAATCTACATAATTACAGAATTTCTTTTGAAAAATACTATTAGATTATGTTTTGTATATTTTGAATAAAGCTGGTTTTCTTTAACTGAAGATTAATTATGATTAACTGTGTGTTGAAATGTGTATATTGTATTATATTTTAGGGTTGAAGTCAGTAAGCAGGCAAAATCTGATTCAGAGTAAGATTTTAGTAGATATAATATATGACATATTTGATTTTCTTGAAAGTGCAAAAAACATTTGATTGAATCAACAGAGTGTCCATATTTATTATTTGATTAAGAAAAGACAACCCAATTTTTAATCATTTTTTTGTCTTTTGGATTGAAGATTAGAGTAAACTGTCGACGAGTTGACATGTAGAGTAGACGAATTGACTAAACACCAGACTCATTATTCAAATTAATTTTTAAAAAGTAAACATAAGTAAATAAAATAAAGAAAAGCTAAAATTTACAAGCATCATATAATTATATTCATTCAAATATACCGTGTATCACTTAGTGAAAGTCAAATATGTTACTGTAGTTCAGAAATCTGAAATATTTATTCAATTACCTTTTCTCTTCTACCCTTTTGGACTCTCCTAATATTCACATTTATTATACTGTTTAAAAGATTTGTTCCAACCATTAATGTGTCTTTTGGACGTATCAGAAGTATTATTCTAATCTCTTTTGAGCCTACTGAATTTATTATTTTGTAGTTAATTTGTATAGATAGTACCATCTTATCCGGAATACTAATAATATATCAACATATTTTATCTCTGTAGTTATCTTTCTATTTGATGTCTTTAAACTTACTGATTATGGATGGATAGGTTGTAATAATTCATTCTTATTCTTGTTCCATAAACAATAATAGTTATATACCTACCTATACAGGATACAGTCATCTTATATTGGCTCTATAAGTTTTTAAAATTAAAATTCAACTTTCCCTTTCCCTTCAATTGAAGAGTATGACGCAAAATTCCATTCATTTCATTTCCCTACAATTAAAGGAATCTAATTCTAAGGGAGCTAACTGTTGTATTGTATTTCTGAAAAGAAACACAGATAGCTTGAGCTAAGCCCTGTAAGCTGTTAAAGCAAATAGTAAGATAGACTGTATCCTTTAGATTATACTATTGGATAGCTTCTGAAGGGATATCATTTAGTCATTGTTAGACATTTAGTCATTGTTAGATGCCTAAGATAAAGACAGTTTTATTTGTTTGATACAGATTTGTACATACATATGTGTATTTTGGTACTTTGTGTGTAAGCTCAGAATATTACGTGCCATAAAATTGAATGTTACTAAATTCAAATATATATCTAAGACCACATAGAAAGAGGTTACAGTATTGAGTTTAAAAAAGTGTAAAATGGGTGTTGTTCATTGACAAAACATATGACCATTTCATGTGAAATTAGCTCTGATATTGTCATTTAAGTTGCAAAGTTAATTGTTCTTGTTTAGTATTATTAGGGTATAAACTGATTGCTTTATAAAATTTTTTTTTGTAGGACTGTAGGGGCTGGTAGTAAAGAACAACAGAAAAAGACTGGTAGTCCAGACAAACCTGAACGAGGAAGACCTAAACAGAAAAGAGCAGGTTCATCAAGTAGTGGTAGTAGCTCGTAAGTGCCCTTAGTAAATTTTAAAATAATAGAGGCATTCATTACCATTTGGTTGATGCCAGTTTTTTTATCCTCCTTCAATGTAGATTGTCATTAAAAATAGTTAAGATGGTTTTGCATAACAATAGTAAACTGAGGCTTTGCATGATAAAGGGCATTATGTGTTTAGTAGTCCTTGGATAAAGCATATTTTGCGATTAGTGACATCATAAAAGTGGAATTGCAGGAACCACAGACGTCTGATTGAAAATTAGAATAGTGCAAATTGATGCTATCAGTGTCCCTGATACACATAAACAAATTAGAAAACCTCTTTACAATCACTTGAATAGATTTTCTAAATACATGTATTAATAACATTTCTTCAATAATTATTCAGTCACAGATGGTAGATGGCTTAATGTCATTTTTTTTCTGAATCATCTTTTGATTTTGTAGGATTGTGCCTGATTCTTCTTTTATATCCATGACATATAGTGGAAGTTCTGAAAGCATGGATTTTTCTCCCAACAGAGATGGAGATTTTTCTTCTGACAGCTGGTCAAGTATGGAAGACGGTGAAAGTACTGATTATTCTTCAGATTTTTCCTCAGATAAGGATTTCAATGACAGTGATGGAAATGGTAGCAGATATTTCAGAAGATCCAGATCTCCATATTGGAGAAATTCCTTCTATTACAGATCCAGAACAAGAAGTCCTTACAGAAAATACTGTAATAGGAGCAGATATGGTCACTTTTACAGGGAACCAACATCAAGTGGATGGAGTTCAATTCCACGCTCTTCTGGACCAATTAACTGGTATAATGGTATTTCATTCTGTGAAAATTCCTATCGTTTTAGATCCAGAAGCCGTTCCAGATCTTCGTCAAGTGGAAGTAGTAGCTCTAGTACCAGTAGTTCTGGTAGCTCTGGGTCAAGAAGTTCAAGGTCGAGTAGCTCATCATCCAGTAACAGTTCACGCAGCAGAGAAAGGAAACGGAGACAAAAATCTGGGTTTGTAGCCATCTTTAAATTGTACCATGTACTGTGTTTGGTGAGGCCATAAAAAAAGAATGTGTTTCTTTGGCTTAACTTACAGAAAAGTAATGAACAATTATAAAGTATAACTATTTAAGTTTAAGTGAATCCTTTCAACCAACTGATCCTTGTCCAAACCTCTTGGCATTAATCTTTCCCGGATTATAGATTTTAGATGGGACATATTTTGTATAGATGTCATTAAATTTTGCTTATTTATTAATCTGTGTTGTATTTATTTTCAGCTCTCCTAAAAGAAGAAAGAGAAGCCCAACTCCTAAACCAAGTAAAGTTCACATTGGACATTTGACACGTAATGTAAATAAAGACCATATTGTAGAGATATTCTCTACCTATGGAGCTATTAGAAATGTTGAGATGATGATAGATAGGCTACATCCAAATTTCAATCGAGGATTTGCTTATGTTGAATATGAGAAAAGTGAAGATGCTGAAAAAGCCATCAAATTTATGGATGGAGGTAAGTGTTTTGATCTGCAAACAATGGAGGATGGATCAAAAACAGTTGGTTATAGAAGAAGTAAAGGAATCTAAGCTTCATTATCTTGGATTCTCTTAATCATCAGTCAAGTAACTTTGAAAAGCTGAAATCAATTAAAATTGGATATCCTCCATATGGTAATCTGCTATTAAATTATTGCTAAAAAAGCTGAATAACTTTTTGTAATTTGTATATATAAACCACAAGTAGTAACATTCCAAGCTACAATTGAAAAAAAGAAAAAAATTGACAAAAATTGAGTTTGGCAATACATTGGTTCTCCTTGTCCAACGATTCTTCTTTCTGTATTTCAGGTCAGATAGATGGTCAGGAAGTATCAGCAGCAGCTATATTACAACAGAGACCTCCACCTCGATACCCAATGAGAAGAAGTCCACCTCATCATCGCCGTGGTCCACCTCCAAGATGGCATAATTCACCTCCTAGATTTAGGAGAAGGTAATTAGGTTTTCTTTGGATTTGGTAGGGATTCTGATTCAGATGTGCTGTGAAGGATATTTATAGACCTATCATTAAATAGAAAGAGTAAGAATATATAAATCATGGTTATTGCTGTGAAATTTCCAGTTGGATAAGGATTACTGTATATTAACCAAACTCTTTCCATCATGGATATATTTGAGAAATCTTCAAAACTGACCTCATTTTGATTGGTAAATGTATTTAAGACCAAGATTCCAGCTGTAATGTTGCTTAAAGATTAGCTGTATATGCCGTATGTTTATTCAAACATGACTAGCTATTACCGTAGTTGTTGATTAAAATGCTCTATGATCAAGCATCAAGTAATAGTAGAATTTTAGTGGTTACGGTAAGGGAGTGAAGCCACTTTATAGAAAATTAGCTAACGATTGGATCAAAAGTAGGTTAGGTTCTAAGATCAATATTGATGTTTCAGATCACCACCACCAAGGAGACGTTCTCCTCCGCCAAGACGGAGAACCAGATCCAGATCTCCGGCAAGACGAAGAAGATACAGTCGCTCCAGTTCCAGTTCATCTCGTTGAGAGGTTTTTCACAAATTGCGTTTTATAGTCTGGAGTTCTTTGCATTAATCATGTAATCATGGAGGGATTTTAATGTACATAGATATATTCAATCATGGCATCATGTAAATTGAGAAAATAATAATAAATGTTTTTAAAATACATTTCTTCTTTTTTTGCGACACTTTGTCATACAAAAGCTGTGAATACAAGGTAGTGTTTGGTGTGGGATTATCGGTCCAGTAGAAAATTGATGTGAGCACACAATTGGCCCTTACTCTTTTCTACTGTTCAAATACTCTCGCACCGGACCTTGTCTATTTCCACCTTTATACTATCTTTAAGACTGCCTGGATCAGAAAGAAGAAAGGGCTTATTTTCTACAGACAGTCATGTCTGTCATTCATCCATTTTCATCAAATATGATAATAGGACTAATAGTCCTATTTTGCATGAACTGCATTGATATTATTGGTTTGTGAACTTTTGACTGCAATTAAGAAAGTGGTATTTCAGCTTTCTCCTGATTGAACACAATGCAAAGTCTTTAATCTACTCCTGAAGTGCTTCATGATATGATGTAGCAACAAATGTCCAGTTTGGAATCTTAGTGATTGAGTACACTCTTCAGGATGGACTTACAGCAATTTTACCTCCGGCAGGATGATACACAACAGCCAGAATAAAATATCCTGGTCTGTTCTCCTTCAATACAAGTTATAACTAACTGCACAGCTCATTCTCCGGGAACACCTGGTGGTGCTCTGTGTTTTATATGTTTACTTCTTAACAATCCACACAGTTTCTGACACTAACCATTTCTTCCAACAGATATTGCTGGTGTCAATACAAAACATAATTAAAAGTAATAGAATAATTTTATTAAAAGAGTTTATCATGATCGATGATAATGTTTGACACTAATGGCATTTAGTATACATGCTTCTTTTGGTCATTATGATATAAATAAACAAGGTATATATATACAGAGATACTAATCAGTCCAAACCATGCTGGTTCTTACCTAGCCTGTGATAGCTTACACTTTGGAAATTCATTGCAGGAGGATAGATACACCAAGCCCTTAACATGGTATTGCACTTGTCAATATTAACTATCAGAGGTTAGATATAGTATCAGCATGTTTTAGACTAAATTCTTATACACATTTAATTCATAAATAATATTATTTATCTCCTACTGTCAATCACAGATATTTATGCACACCCGGGGGGGGGGGAAATTTCTAAACATATACATGTGCAGTTCTTTCTATTTTAAAGTAGATAGTAATGGAAACTATACATGTTAGACATAAGCTTATATGGTGTTCATTATCACTTAACCTACTTCAAATTAATCATGCCAAAAAAATAAGCATGTACTGCCTGTTAATTTGAAGTAGAATAAATAGTAAATGAACTATACATGTCTGAGGTATATGGCATTGATTACTAGTTTAATTACTTTAAAGTTCCCAATTCATAGGTAGTTCGAAGTAGAACGAATATTAATTAGAACTATACATGCCAGATTCATGGTGCTCACCGATATTACACTACCTCAAGATGTAGTTAACTGCACATGGCTATGTTTTGAATAGTCTTGCATCCCAAAATGACCATAAATATCCTGGTTTAACTATATTGTCCTCGATCAGCTGTTTAACAACTCTCTAGACACAATTAACATGTAAATAAATAGATGCCTTTCAGTATTTCTGTACATAAAATAAATAAATATATAAAAGGTCCCGAGATTTTAGCTTTAATTTCACAGAACTCAGAATTCTGATTTGACCAATTTGTATCTCATATCATTGTATGGTGGAATTGCATTTGGTTATATGTTGAGAATTTGTAGACGGATATTACAACTAGTTGCACATTATGGATTACATGGTGAATTCAAAGAGACAGTAAGGTTGTTTTCTAAATTCTTCACGTGTATCAGGGTCATTGATAGCACCAATTTGCATCATTCCATTTTTCAGTCAAATGTCTGTGGTTCCTGCAAATCTACAAATCAGAAGTTGTGAATCGCGAAATATGCTTTATCACATAGGGCCATTTGCAATTAGTGAAGTCATCAAACACTTAGTTTTAGAAGAATTTCAGGAACCGCATACGTCTGACTGTGAATTGGAATGGTGCAAATTGATACTATCATTGTTCCCAATACACATAAAAAATTTAGGAAATCTCTTTACAATCCCTTTTACTCTTTTAATTACACATGAACATCTTTCACCATGGATAAGAACTATGAAAGAAATAAATACTGTAGTTAAAGAACGTATCTTCCACAGGACAATGCAGCATGATTACACATGAGATGAAATGATTATCGTCTATATGATTCTTATAATCGTTTGAGCACTTTCTTTTTCTCACGTTTTTTCTTGTCCATTAATTTTTTATCACCTGCATGTTTTTTAGCCATCGGCCCTTCACTGACACTTTCTTGAGGTAAATCGATTTCTTTTCCAATCCTATAAAAGAAGTTTAAACAATTGATATTACATGCATGTATTGACCAGGAACTCAACTCAAACATTAAACTGGTTTGATGTTCAAAATCCTGTCAGAAATGCGATCTTGTAATGGAAGCGTTTTTGTGCCCCCAGCATTAATCTTATAAAGTCAAATAGAAAGAGATTCTTACTTTTCTCTATTCGGCCAATAAGGGAAATTTTGGAGAATACTAGCCTACCTACGAGTCACAGGGCCTTGATTTATTGTCCTATTGGAACATTCAATTCTCCACAAGGATTGAGATATTCACTGGAAAAATCTCAGTACACATTTGTTGTCCCTTATTTTCGAAGTAGAAGTAGAAAGGTTTTTGAAAAAAGTTGAATAGTAGTCTTCCCATCCATAAAAGGGGGACAGGGGTGAAGCCCCCATGTTGGGGGGGTGAATGCCACTGGGAGGAAATTGATTTACTTTACTCACTTGATAGGTTGCTGTGCATGAATTTCTGTAAACATTTTAGCTCTTGAAGAATAATCATCATATTGTTCTAATAATAATTTTCCTGCCTCTTCATTTAATGCAGATTCAGGATTTGGTACGATTAATAAACATTTTATCGTCTGATCAAAATAAAATAATCAAATCAATAAATTAATTAATTTCATAAAAATTTTGTGATATAAGCTTAAACTTATTAAATCTGTATGATCAAGTGAATATGCATAAAGCAAATAAATTGTATTTTGAAATCCAAACCACTGAGAGTGTAATACAACCCTATCTTATATCTAACATGTGACCAGGATGTGCCTCATCTTCACAAGCTTCGTCAAGCTATTACGAACTGTGTCTTTTTTGTCTTAAATGCTACCAAATGAACAGAAAGTCTGTAATCCATAAGCCATAGTGTTTACAGTCTTTACGTCTGATTGCCTGTATTTGCTAATGCACAATCCAATCAAATTCCTGCATTAGGTGATAAAAGAAAGGTGATTTATGCAGTCAAGGTATTAGACACAATTCGTAATAGCTTGAAATAGTGAAGATGAATGTGCCTAATCATAAATTATCACTAAAAGAATTCACTCTGATAACCCTGTTAAACAGTCTGAATAGTAACAATACAGTATATTGATTATTATATCATAGATACTTACAAGGAGTATATGTTTTATTCCCAGTTCAGCTTTCCAATCTTTTTTCAATGTATTTACACATATTTCACCATTACTTGCAACATTTGGGTGAAATATTTTTGTGAGAAAATATGCTTTTGGAGGTTCTGAAGGAAAGTTTTTGCCAAGTACCAACTTCATTCGAAATAATCCACCAGCATATGGCGTGCCAGCTGTAATAAAAGAGAATTATCAAATATTGATTTAACTAAATAAATTGAATTTAAAAACTTAACAGGATGACTCAGTCTGTAGCTGGAGTGAGAAAGCAGTCTGTTCACAAGATAAAACAAATTCCTTTCAGTCTACAAGTCACTGATTTCGAGCTTAATTTCTTTCAAACTTTAGGAAATAACATTAGAGATAATTATGCTATTTGAAATATTAAAACAGAACCTAAAAAAACATGTTGTTACTCTTTTACAACAACTTGTTGTTAGAATTTTACCCTATGTGATCTTCAGACAACTGACCATTTTTCAGCCCGAAATACTAAGTTAAATTTAAACAAGACATACCAGGCCCAACTATAGATGCTTGAATATCAGTAATATCTTCTTCATTTAAAAATACTTTGATTCCTTCGGGGGGTGATTTTGTTAGTTCACCCAATTCTTTTGACACCAGTCGTATTGTCTGTGGTGAAAGATTTTCCACATTGGAAATCTATAAAAAAAATAAATGAAAAGTAAGCTTATAGGATTAAATTTCTCAAGAAAGTTAGATAAATTTTATGGAATAAGCTCAGGAAAAGTAAATAAGTATGTTCAATCCTTAAAGATAGTCAGAAAGACCTCTTAAAACAGGGCCAAGTCACTCCAATGATATCCACTGAATGACAGATGTGGTAAGAATTACCTTGTTTCAAAGAAGAACTGACTAAAAATCATTTGTAACATGTTACGGTATGGTATGTAAACTGTACTTATGGCAAATTTGATCTGGTACATTGGTTGTGATTAAATTTCTTGCTTTTTACGTAAAATCTGATGATATTTTTAGCTTAAATATAACTAAGATAACGAAGTCTTCGAGATATGAGATTTTCTGGTATTTGGGCAGGATAATTATGCTCTCTTGCTGCTCAGAACACTTTATGATTCCATTCATTTACTTCCAGCTAACCAGATTCAGAAATATCGTTTGTAGCCAATAATCCAATAATGAATTTATAAGGAGCTTTGACTTTTTAGATTTAGGAAGTTTGGTCATTAGGTTCAGCCTTTTTAGGCCTATAATAAGTCGTAATATTTCCTTGCTTTCGTAAAGGGAAGCCTACACCTTTTTAAAAGATCAAGGGCAAGAAAGAATAAACAAATCCAAACATTCATATGGTCATAGCCCCCCCTCATCAAATCCTCAGTAGGTCTATTTTCCATTTTCAGTAATTCATGAAGAGAACTTTGTGATGATGACAAATCATGCAAATTTTTGACAAAAATATCAAATTCTATGGCGATAATAAACCCGAGGTTTGAAAAATATAAAGTCTGAATTGAACTAAAGAAGTTCAGCATAAATTAAGATACTCACACTCGACATTTTTGACGAAATGGGAAATTTATTTCGACAAAATATCTGTTTACTGTCCCCTCACAGCTTCTTTCACTGCTAACGCTAACACTTCATTTCACCTTTCAGCCAATCAGAAACTGTAATATAATTTTATAAAAAATATTCAAAAATTTAAATATAGATTTGAAATAATTACATAGTTTGTGATAATAATAAATGAGTTATAATGAAAAATAAATGTTTATAATATATTATTTAGAAACTTTCATCTTTGAAATCGGTTCACGCACTATCATGTTACTGCGAGATAAAAACAGAAACAAAAATGGCCGACAGTACAGAAAATAAAACTGAGGGGGAAGAAACGGTATATTTACCTATATAAACAGATAAACTGAACAATCTTATTTCTTTTTTTTCACAAAACAAATGTCTTACTGACAAGTTGGCAATAGTTTGAGAGCGATTAAACTAAGTATATTTTCCGGAGATGGTTCATATCAATGGCATCTATAACAGGTTGTAGGTGATGGTATCTGTGATTTACAAACTACCGACTCATTAAATACTTTTTTTTTTTAATCAAATTAGAAATCATTTTATTGTGCAAAAAGGTTTTCTAGAATGTTGATGTGTATCAGAGTCACTATGGTAGCAAATTGTACCATTCCAATATTCAATCAGATGTCTAGTTCCTACCTGCTATTCACATGTACCGTTCCAATTTTCAATCAGATGTCTGCGGTTCCTGCCTGCTATTCACTAATCGTCTTAATGTCAATGACTAAAACTATAACTTCGTGAAGGGCCCTATAAAGCATATTTTGCGATAAGTGACATCATCAAACACTTAATTTATTGAATTGGCAGGATCCACAGACGTCAGATTTAAAATTGGATTGGTGCTAATTGATGCTGTATATACCGGTATCTCTGATAAGCTAACACATGAAAAATTTAGATAACCTCCTTACATTCCCTTAATTTATTGAGTAGTGGTGTTTTATATAGTATCAGTACGTCATGCATGACCATATTGTTTGATTGAATGATCAAGTATAACATTCTTCCTATCTAATATTAATAATGTCACCATTAGTTTTAATATAATATGTTGTTTCATGGCCCCTTATTTCAGTTTTTAAATACAAAACCAGAAGAAAATACTGATGAATTATCGGAAATTAAGAGAGATTTAGAAGGATGGAGAGAAGCTCTAATACCACTAAATAGTTTACTAGAATGGGAAAAACCATATTATCCAGCTATCATTGTTGGTACAACAACTTTTCTCTTTCTGTAAGTGTTTCTAAAATAAATTGTAATCCAACCTTAGGTATTACTTATGTTTTGAAATTGTCCCTATTCATTCTTTTGGCATTTTCTGTAGAGCTTATGTAGGAAGTCTCTTTTACAAATTTAGTAATTTCAAAAAGTGATATTTTTCTGTGATTTGCCAGTGTATGTTTACTTGATTTCTAAAGGCAATGTTCATTTTCATCTTTAATTTAGAAGTTAGAAGTAGATAGAACATTAAATAAATAAGAACAATATTATGGATACACTACTCCTTTCTTCAGGTTTTGTAACATTTCACTTCACATACAGGAATCTTCATCAATTATCAAGCATAATTATACATTCATTATTTTTATTCTAATTTTATTTCCAGTTTGGTGTGGTACATTCAACCATCAGTTTTAACAACATTGTCCCTTCTAGGATTATTAATTAGTGCAATAGATTTGCTGATCCCCATGGTTGGACCAAAATTGTTTGCAACTGATAGTTGGTAAGAATCAGATTTCTAGATATTTCATTTTATATTATTTACTCTTACCTTAATACTCAATATACCGTACTATGAGTATAGTATGCACATGTCTAAAACCATCTTCACGAATTCCATCTAATACCTGGACATCATTATGTGACTAGTGTCACACTAGTTTGTAAATGCAGCAATTTGATTGGATTGTATGACAGAGCCTTCCACAGAAAGACTGTAAACAAATATGGCTTGACTTGGTGATGATCTTCTACAATATACTTTAGTCTTTTGTCTGATAGTTATACATCTGCCCAGATAATATATGGAATAAGCAAATTTAGAAAATGTTGAGCAGTTTGGTTTTGTGAATTGTTACAATTTTTACTGAGGACTTTGAACCAAAAAAAAGGGTTATTTAAAAGAAATATTTAATACTGGCCAAGTTATGTTTGATGATTATAATGTTTGTTTCTACAGGACAGTGTTCCATGAACAACAGTTTCAACAGATCTGTGAGAGAATTATCAATGCTAGAAACCATTTTATTGATTTTAAGAATACCATGTGTCAACTGAAAGCTGAAAAGCCTAAAGTAGTAAGTAATTTTAATGCCTTTTAGGTTGCTAGGAAATATTGATTAAGATGAACATGCAACATTCTGGTAGTTGCTAAGTTCAGTTGATGTTGAGGTTGATTGTCGTCTGCAAGACACTTCAGCCCACAAGATAAGTATTGAATTCCCCTTCAAGGCAAGAAGTAGGAATTTAAAAAACTGTTATGCAGCTTTATTACAGTGAACTTGCATCATGAATCGGAGAGTTTGCAATAGAGCAAACTGTACTTTACTTGTCATCTAACAGTTTCCTCTTAATACTTTGTTCTTTAAACATAGATATTATAAATATTAGCAATATATATAATTATTTTTCAGTATTTCTTTGTTGTAATGGGTATTTTAGTAATTCAAGCCTGGATAGGAAGTTTAGTAAACAATCTTCTGCTCACCTATCTACTAGGTAATACCAGATTTTCATTAGTTACATTTAATACTGAATGACAAGAGCTCGTCCTCATGGAGCTCATGTTGTTAACACGTGTATCATATTAGCATGTATTAAATATTAAATTCTCTATATCAGCTGGCTTGAAAATTAGGGATATATTTCTATACATTGGAACCCTTTTTAACCGCACAATTCCGTTCCCAAAAATTCGTTCGGCTCTTATTTCCAAACAGTTGAAACATGCTATGTATTCTAAGGTGGCAAACTGCTCAAAGTGCTAAAGTTAATCATTCAAAGATTAGCTGCAGGGAAGTGGAGAATAAGATGTGCTGAATTTTGCCGATGATAAGCCATCTAGATTATAAGACAAAGCATATTCTTAAATTGTAATTTTAGAGTATTTATTTAACCTTAAAATTATGTCAGATTCTTGATGATTATTTTGTTATTTATACTCTCTTTCAGTGAACTTGGTATTTCTTCTTCCTGGATTGAGACGTCATGATATTGTTAAGAAGAACATTGCTGTCGTTCGTGTCGTCTTGAGTCGACTGATTTTCGGCAAAAAGAAGAAGAATTGAACATCTAATTTGTTATTAACCAAGTTTTTTCTTTTTTGTTTCAAACTTCTGGTTGATATACGAATAGTTGATCTCTTGGTGTTCAGGTGTGGCAAGTTTACGTCTCTATTCTACTGCCTAAAAGCCAAAAATGAGTTCTGACGCTCATTCTTACAAAAATCTTCAACACCAAGGCAGAAAAACCAAAGAAACTATTTGTTGATGACCAAGAATTAAGTGGAATGTTTTGAGTTTAGTTCGTAGTAAAATCTGATTTATGTATTAAGGGAATCCATACATAAAACTATCTAGTCTCAAGTAACTAGGCTATTGTAACGTGTGTTCATCAGTTAATACTAATCATTGTTTTAAATGATATTTATTGTGAAATTTTTCCTGTACTAAACAACATGCATAAAAAAGACTAATGAATATTAGATCTTTATATTTGTGTAGTCATAAGATTATTGTCCCAGCATTACTAACATATTGTTGAATTATTTTTATCTTCTTGCGACTTTTTGTGATAACCCTCCCAACTCTCTGTTCATTGCTATAGCTGCTTAAAGCTATCATAGACTTAATCCTGTAATATAATAGCTTGATCAACAAAGTTATTACTCTATTTGCATAGTGAGTTTTGTTATAAACTTTTTTTGTATGAAAATGATAAAAATTATGTTTTAGAATTGAATTGTTTCAAAATTTGATAATTTGTACTAAATTTGATATATTTTGTTTTTACATAATTGACAAAAGGAGACTTTCTATTGATGGTCTGTGTGAATTTCTCTAAATGATTTAGCCATTAGGTTTTATGAAAACTTATTCCAAATTTAGATAAATTAATATCCAGTTCATTATATTATCTAACGGTGTTTAAGGAACATGGTTCTTGTTCTGCAAGTTATTGGATATCAACTAGCAGAAATCCATTAAGATTTTGAGCTTTAATTTATGATTAAAAAATCCGAGCTTCCATGAAGACAACTTTTTGTAAAGTTTTTAACTTTCTTAGTTCCTTATCTTAAATCCTTATTTTTTTCGTTCACTTCTTTGTGCCATAATGCATGATCTTATTTTTCCATTATTTTGCGTGATGTGATAAGCCAGACAAGGTTGTGAAGTTTTATTTTTGGATGCAAATGATCCAAAGTGAAAAGAGTAATAATTATGTACAAATTTGAGCATGAGAAAACGTAATGGCTTTATTTCAATATCTAATTCTTTTGCATCAAAGAAATGAAATATGTCCCCCAACCACTAAAACTGTTGTTTGTCTATTTATGGAAACAGGTGTGGAATTGAAAGAAAAGCACAAATTTCAAGGTTTACCCATTATTGGCTAGTTCATTGAAAGCAAAAATATGTTACTGTCCCTCTATTTGAAAAAAAAATACCTGAAACCTTATTCTCGAAAACTTAAGATGATTTTAGTGTTCCAGTCATTTGATTAGTCAATCACTAAAATCAATATTAAGCCAAAATTAATTGTTCTATAAGATCACTCTATTTGTTAAAATCATGATTATACTCTACTTAAGTTTTCCAGAATAAGGCCCCATGATAAATATGAAATTCCTCATGCATTTATTTTTCACCTACTGCTAATTGCTCCAAGCTGTATTTTAATTGCTCAATGTCCCATTTCTTTTTATTATTACTATGAACCTTTCTGTAAGAAGCTAAAGCTCTACAATAAATTTGTTCTTCTGTTGTCATGATTTTATGAAGAGTTGTGGGCTCCCTGTGGTGTTGGGCAGGTTTGAACACCCTAACCTAATTCTCAAGATAATGGGATTGCTATCTGAAATGTAATGCAAGATGTGATTGAAATTGGTTCAACATTAACCTAGGAATTAGTTGTAGATACTTGGTCATCTTCACAATGTCAAATCATTACAAACTTAGTCTTATACCTGGACTGCAAGACACCTTTCTTATATCATGCAGGTTTGTAAAAGCAGCGATTACAGCCCAAGTGCTGTAAACAATGAGGGTACTGAATGGTTGTCGTACAATCAAATTGCAGCATATTGTGATAAAAATTCATGGCTATTGCAGTCAAGATACAAGATGAAGTTTGAAGAAGATGCTGCTGGATGGACCTGCTACTTAGTTGTAATTTGGGTAATCAAAATGAACAGATGTTTTGAGAAGATTCTTGGATTAAATGAAGTTTCTGGGCATACAGGTTTCAATTTACGGCAGGCATGAAATGGACACTGATACAAAATTTTATTTACTGGTTAATCCTTTAAAATCAATTTGCCTGGTTTCTGAAAAGATTTACTCAAGCAAACGAGATGTAAAGAGGACTGGTAATAAGTTTCTGTGTAGGTTGTTTTGACATTTTTTTTTGATGCCAATAACAATATATCAATATACTTGACAGGTCATACACCAAGGGAAATGCACTAATATACCACAATAAAAAGTGAAATGTTTTATTCATACATTTTACAATAACTTCATATTTCATTCATTTAAAATAAATTCTCTTAACTTTTCACCGTGTGGGGACAATACTACTACTCCATTACCAAGTTTACTACAGATAAAAAAATACTACAAATAAACAGCTACAAATATCCAATACTGACCAAGTTACAAAGAGCAGGACTTATCATTTTTACTATTTCAAATAAAAAATTTGCTATCTGATGTCTAATGCTCTAAAAAAAAACTAAGCCAAATTGAATGTACTGACCTAGAAAGAGAGCTACTTGTTTAATATCTATGCTGATAACTGTGGACCTGTGCAAATGGACCCACTTTTCTTTATCTTAGATCTCAGCATCAAAGGTATGCATTATTATCTGTGAAATGATTAGGGTTAACTATTAAAAGTGCTCTTTAAAATGAGTTCAAATGGTATTAAACAATCTGGCTCTGAAAATATATATGAAGTTCTGAGTATTTCAAATGAATAAACTAACAGGTCATGTGAGTTCGCTCATTTCTAATTAGTTTTGGGATGGACAAAATTTTGTACAGGTGTACATAAAATGTATGACTAAAACATTGAAACATAATAATTTTACAATAAGTTATGTACAAGTATAGAATAACCTCTTCTAGTGACTTTATAATACAAATAATCCAGTCAGCACTGGACAAACTAAAATCAATGTCTTTCGTTTAAAAACTTAACCAATCAGCTCTGACAGTCTAAAAGCTGGGAATGAAAGTCTCTAGAAATAAAAATACAAAATGATTTTGTTCTACAAATGTTAATGAATTAAAATTGTTAAAATGACTTCCATTTTCTCACATTATATCTTACAAAAGGCTGATGGATGAGATGACAATGAGGATGGATAAATTACAGCACTGGTTTCAAAAATTCACAAGACATGGATAATCCAACATTAAGTACATGACAAGATAGTTCCTTATTTCAACACCAGTCCTTGAATGTTAATAATTTGATGTCTGCTGTCTTGCACCTCGTAAAATTTACTCTCCTACTAACTTCAGCATTAACTTGTATCCATCTGAAATTAGCACATTGAAATAAATGAAGTTAGGTGTATTAAATGAAGAAAGAATATATAATTATCACATAAGCAAATAAACGACTCACTAAATGCTTTGAATATCAACATTTTAAGTCTAAGATGACTGCCCTGAAGGGCAACCATTTGGAAAACAACAGATACATCTGTAGAAACGTCAAAATGTTTTCATAATAAAGACCAACCATGTTTTCTGATTTTGAAGCATCTCTTCATGTTCTTTCCATGTGAAACTGAATATCAGTTTTATTTTAAATTCTCTTGTCAAACTCACCTTGGCATTGTAGGCATCTAATTCAGCATCTAATTCTTCTGCTGTGACAGGTTTTTTACTCTGCCTACCCCCTCCTCTACCACCACGCCCTCTATTTCCACCTCTACCTCTGTTATTACCTCCCCCTCGGTTAGGTCGGCCACCACTCAAACTAATAATAAATAAATCAAGATTATTTTAACAATATAGAGTATAGAATCAGTATAGTAAAATATAGAGGGGCATCTCGAAGTTAATTTCAACCCTGACTGGCGAAAAACAGTCAACAACGGATGAGAATTCATTTATCATTCTAATGACTAAAACTTTGTATACAAATACAGTCATATACCGTATACAATAGTGTTTACAAATGAGATGAAAAGCAAATAAATATCTTGTATCAGTGGTTCCTTGGAATCAACATAAATTATCTGTATGCGATAAGTTTTCATCATTTACAAGATACTTTATTCTATAGAAAGTAGATTTGCACAGTGATTAATTTAAGTTCCAAACATTTGTTTAGCAAGCTATTTTACTAAAATCAAAATCACAATTTGAATTGTTATTTTAACCCAACATCTGAACTTGTATCAGTGGTTCCTTGAGAATCAACATTGAGTTCAGAAGTTGATAGTTTACATCATATACAAGTATCAGAGTCAATATTTCCAACAAATACCAACTAAGTTACCTTCTAGGTCTCTGCATTTTCATGGGAGATTCTTCAACTGCGGCTCCAACCAACTGGATGCTCATTGCACGTCCTAAAAGTGAAGAACAGTCTTAAAATGATTCATATTTATTTCGTATATCTAAAATTTATCTTTTATATTCTAAAAGCACTTGTTAAAACTAAATGAGATCTTGGAACTTTTTCACTTATCAACTTTTATTGTTGCATAATATGGCTAAGTTGCAAAAATTTAAGCTTGAACTGGTACAAATGTTCATTTTCTTCTTTAATACCGGTATTTTAATATTTTCATATTTTTGCTTCCTACAAACCATTATCTCTATATGAATGACTAACAGATGTCTTAACTTAGAATCTTACCATCTAAAGGCACTTGATTGTATTGTTTCATAGCTTTAACAGCATCTGATCTTCGTTCATATATAACTTCTGCTGTACCCAAGGATCTTCCTGATCTGTCATAATGAACAGCTGCTTTCTTCATTGTACCAAATTCAGCAAAGAGTTCCTAAAAAAAAGTATACACCTTAATAAAAATTTACACAATAATTTTTTTTCAAGTTCTCCTGGGGGTTGTACAATCCTCAAAAAAAAAAAAAAAAAATTGAGAATAAAAAGGGTTCCTTTTTTTCAATTTACTGATTTCAAAACAGTACCAGTACATGCATTGTATACATATACATGAAAGCAGAACGTGTTTGATCATACTTAATGACACAACCTTGTAGGTTACACCAACTCAAGGGAACTGGTTGAAACTTACTGAAACATCTGAATCACTGACACCAAAGTCAAGATTTGAGACTAGTAGTTTCCCAGCACCTCCAGTTGAGATACCACCAGAAAGTCGTCCTCCAAAGCCACCAGATCGCTTGGCACCACCCTCGAACATATCATGTTTCCATTGATCTGGAGTGTCTTTTGACTGAAAAATAATAATTCATGATATTTGATCAAATAGTCTAGATATAATAATGGCAAAGGGCTATGGTGTTCAACCATTGAAACTCTCTCTATGCAACTATCAAATAGGCCTAATGCCTATGACAATGGAACCAGAATCAAGGAACCATAATCCTATCCAGATAATTTCTTTCTCCTTCATCTCTTTTGAAAGCAAAGTATGAAACCAAGACAGGAGACAGACTTTACTTTAATTCATTGATAGAGTAACACTCATCAGAATACATACTCTTGTAAATTGTTGAGATCGGCTTCTGCGTTGTACACCACCACGGTAAACACCACCTCCGCCACCACCACCTCGGTTTTGTTGACGACCGCGTCCGCCAGCTCCTCCACGTCCCCTAGATAACTGTCTCAATCGGCCACCAGAACCTCGCCCTCTTCCACCACCACCACCACGTTTAGATTTATTGGTCTTGATTATGTCGTCAAGACTCATGTCAATCTTATCACCCATTTTTGCTTTAATTTATTTAAACTGAAGAGACGCTAAAAAACAAAAACGTGATGCTAACTCAATGAGAAAAATGGCGGTTCTAATGAATTGTGGGTAGTCGGAAGTTGAACAAGGCACGAAGAAAATGATAATTTGGAATTAAAATTTCAAAAATGTAAAAATGTTTACACTCTTAGTTCGAAAATCGATACCAGAACCCACAGTTTGAATTTGATATTTTTTCTTTTTTTTTATTCTGAAATATTTTATTTAGAACTACTTAAGGTTATTTCGTCAAAGGGAAATAGGGATGTTTCGTTTGTTAGAGTTTTTGGTAGGTGTGATCTGACGACCTTGACCAAGCATTTAATGTGAGTTAATAAACATCATCGTTTTGCTTTTATGTCCCACTTCTTTACAGCATAATCTATTAATCTTAAATAGTTCTTGAATGGTCGAATTTCAGTGACAAAAAGACATAAACTTGAACTCCTAAGTATCGTTTTACTGTATGAATGAAAGTATCAACCGAGAAGTGCTCGCGTACAGTATCTTAACATTTACTTTATAGTAAAAGATTACAGTTCTATGAGTAAGGCGCTCTTTACTTCTTCAGTGGGTGCTGCGATTCCTTAGAAAATCGTGTTTGCACCAATTTGCATATGGTTTTAACAAAAATATTTTGTGTAACACGTATATACATTTATTATTGTGGTTTTATAGTTGATGAGTTAGTGTACGTTATGCTGGCTGTTTCATTTTGTCGTCTGCACGAGGTAGTTAAAGTTAATGAGTACCAGTCATCACTTGAGTATAATTAGGTGGCAGTTTCACCAGTTTCCTAGTTACTTGGTGATTTGTTTTTCTTCCGATAGCAACTTGTTAAATTTGTCAGTTATTTTGAAAAATCTCGTTTGTAATATAAATGCTGATGTTATGACTCTAGAAATTGTGTTTTCTTTATTAAAACAAATAGGATTTAGGGTAAGCTTTATATAATTGTAAATATTTTTAAACTGTAAATGTTGTTCTTGTCACTGTCTTAAAAGTTGCATATTCATATTTAATATGTAAATGTATATCATAATATATTTTGCTTTCCCTTTGCATAAAAAAAATCATAAATACTCCAGTAATTTCTACAGTATCTCTAGTATATTTACCTGTTATCTTATTTTTTTCATTCATCTTTTTACAGTTTTCCATATATATTGTTGTTAAGCAATTTTGGTATATAAATATGCAGGTCTGGGAGGCGAATTAAACTAACCGTTTGATCGCTACGGTACGAAACATCCCAGGAAATTAATTCAACACGGTCCGAATCATCTTCAAATAGACCGACCTTCAAAGCAGACAGATGAAACACTTCCGCATCTAACCTTGCGGAAAATGCTGGGCATACAATAACATTGGCTTAAATGATTTAATATTTTTGAGTTATGGTGGTTAAAAAGCCATTCGAGAATGACAATCAATTCAGGCACAATGGAACTAAATCAAGATCACAAACCAAGACATGTCGTGTATGCCAAGGTATGATTTATTTACATTTAATTTTCCATTTTAGCAACTGATTTTGAGTATTTTGACACTGACAACCAACCACTAAGTCTGACCTCAGTAGACAAGTTTATGCTACCTCTATATTCAGGCCAATTTTAGGATGGATTCTCTCGATATAGGCCTACTACATTGCCACATAGGGCCATATAGGCCTATGTATGGGAGTATAAATTGCAAGAAGAAGGGGCCTAATTTTTAAGAACCTGTAGATCTGATAGTTAAGCTTATTTATTCAATATTCCTATCATCGTAGTCTCTCAATCTAAACCCTATAGCATACTGAACTTGTAATTTATTTTATATAGGCCCTATCTATCTAGCCTAGTTCATATGTTAAACCAAACTATTTATTCCAAACCAGATGATTACTACATATGATTTGTTAAAGTAGAGTAGATGCATATAAGTTCAACATCTTAATCAGGAATTTATTTTCAATTATGGACAAATCATCTGAATTTTGGAACTGTCTAAAATTAAACAGTTTATTTTGAGAATAAGGCATAAAATGAATTCCTGAAAATTCATTTAGTTTGGTATCACCTGTTCCTCAAAATTCTCACTTGTGAATCTTTAAAAAATTTAAAGTGGGTTTAAGTATACAGTGTTTCTGTTTGTCAAGTTGAGAGTAGCCTATGAGATTGACCAGGAAATGAAATAAATGGAGTTTTACGTCCTACTTTTCTGCACAGATCAACCAGGAACCACAATTGTTGTGGCTGAATAATAGTTACAGTGTTTACAGTATGTATTTGTTTGATTTAATTGTTTTTGACTTTTAGTTTTGAAATGATTTGTGATTTCTTACATATAGATTTTTAATGCATTTTTATTTGTTTTTGAATCAATGCTTGGATATTTTGAGTTGCAATTTTTACGAAAAGTAAGGGGCATCTTCCTCTGTATGTACAACCACGAGTAATCTACAATAACCAAAAGTCTATAATATGAAAGTTTTCTTGTTGTGTGATTTTAGTCTTGAATATATGTAAATAGTCTTCAGAAGTACTAGAAATGTACGAAAATTGCATAATTCCTTTAAAAATTCTTCAAACTAGGAATTTTACTCACTATTTCTATATGTGTCTTTTCTATGTATCACAGAGTATCTTAACATGACATTCAAACATGGATATTTCTGGACACACATGGATTTGAAGGCTCAAATTTTGACGGTGAGCTGTGAAGACTATCACTAGTTGGCTTAGCTAAGAAATTCCTGTTTCTGAAACTAAAGTATGATTGGTCAAAAAATGGTGCACCTGTGCCTTTTAAGTAATGCTTAGATTTAAAGAAGTAAGTTCAGAATGGGGCTTAAAAATCTTTAATCGTGAAATGAAAATTATAACCTTTTACTCTACACCAATCGGTAATAGACTACAAAATGAAAGATTTCATGAGTGTTGCATCAAATGGCCTATTATAATTCTGCTTGACAAGGACAAAAAAACCATTGTATTTATCTGTAGCAAGTTTGAGTTAACTGTCAAAATTTTAACCATGTGCTGAATCATTATTATCTCTGAAGATTTTACTTCATCTTGCTATAATTACTATGTACTGACTGGTCATTTCCTGACATAAGAGATGTTATTAATTAATGGTTAACACTTTAGAGGTATTATTTCAATACCAGTATTAAGTATGTTTCTACTATACATTTGGATAATTGATATATTGCCCATCAACAAAAAAATAAAAACTATTAAAGTTTACCAAAGGCTTTAAGTCATAAACGTGACCTTATCGTTTCTACTTTGATTGATTTGAATAGAAAGATATAATTTAATAAATGCTTAAATATTTGATATTCCTAATACTTTGTTATATTCTCTGACATTATTTAGAAATAAACAAGTTTTGATTGGGCTTAGTATAAAAGTCAATATTCAGTGATAAATATCATTTAAATTTCTATAGGTGATTCACTTACTAAACATTAAAGGGACAGGTGCGCCATTTTGTTGGGACCAATCATACCTTAGTCTCAGAAACTGGATTTTTTTAGCTAAGCCAATCAGTAATGGTGTTTACAGCTCACCGTCGAAATTTGAGCATCAAATCCATGTGTGATCATCATTTAAAGATACTCTGTGATACATAGAAAATACATTTATAGAAATTGTGAGTAAAATTCCTCATTCGAAGTAATTGTAAAGGAAGTTTGCGATTTTCTTACATTTCATGTACTCCTGAAGACTATTATATATTCAATCCTCAAATCAACCCCCTGAAATGGCGCATATATGTCCCTTTAATTTGATCTGAATTTTATAAGTTGATGTTTAATGGTAGAAGACCCTAAGACAGTAAATGAAACTAATCCACTATAGTTGTATTTTTTATCAGACTAAGATTTGTGAAACCATTTGAAAAAATTGGCTGTATACACCATCTTTAAAATCAATAAATAATCTCCTTTATTCACCATTTATATGTCTGTATAATTTGATTTGGTCATTTCATTCTGTGCTCTAGTGTTCACCAGCCGTTTCATTGCTGCATTGATCAATAGTGTTCACCAATGAAATTGTCAAATAAGATGGATGAATTAAAATAGTTTCAGTTTGTTATTTAGATCCTCATTGATTAGTCTGCTTTCTTTAAAGCAATTTCCTTTTTTCTTGTATTATAA